ATTGCCAAGAAATTTCTTGACCTCGAGAAAGGCTTAAAATTCCTGGATAACTGCCAGTCATATTCGTATAAGGTATTCGGAGTTTTCTATAAACTTGTCGACGATTTTCACTTTTTTTTCTATCAAGATATTACCATCATTATTAAAGAAAGTCTCCTGAGAATTTCGGTGTAAAGTACGGCTACTCCATGCGCTCTATTTTTCGACCAGTCGACCCATCATGGTAGCTAAGAGTTTTGGAAGAGACGAAAAAACCTCCAAAAACTTTCGAGAAGACCAAAATTCCTATAAGACACTGTATATCCTAGACCAAATTCATCAGATGTACAAGATTATTTTCGGACACTGTGACATAGATTCTCATATGTTTTTTGATTTTAATGTATTAGCAAACACGCGTAGGAACCATAATTTTAAGATAAGACCCAAGAAGACACGTACAAATTACTTTAAATTTTCATTTTTCAATCGATACATAACAGACTGGAATAGTATTCCATCGAACATTATGCATGCTTCTTCATTAAGCAGCTGTTTTAAGTCCTATCTATTACATCACTTGTGTCAATTTTAAATCAGGTGTAACTCGTGAGTGACAAGTATGCAATTTAATTAGGTTAGCCTTGGGACGCATTTAAATTTTACTTCTTAATTTTTAGTGTCAATTTTAGTATGCAATTTAATCAAATTAGTTTTGAGCCGCATTTCAATTTTACTTCTTAATTTTTAGTATGTTTAATATTGGATAATATTCTTTGTATGGGAAGTTAGTTTCCCCCAATTAGACTCCAGTCATGCACTTTTTGTATTTTCTGTAATTCATTTACTTGTATTTCCATGACAAAGTAGTGTTAAACTTAAACTAAAACTACAGTTGCGGATCCAGGGCAGGGGCCTGGCCCCGGGGGCGGGGACTGGCCTGTTCCCCCACTTATTTTTAGACCAAACGGAGGCCTAAGGGCCACTGCTGTATAATTAAGGACCGAACTCTCAACTTTCTTTATTTTTGTGGTAGTCAACAACAGTTACTATGGCTCCTTCCAAATAAATAGAAATTAAGAACTTTATAAATTTAGAACCTTTTTTTCCAGTCCTCAAATAATGTAGTAATTTGCCCAATAAGATTGCTGCGGCCTTGCCGGAAATCTGGTGGTCAAATTGTTCCACTCACGGTTATGGTGAAATAGAATATTACGGAGAGTATTGTTATCCTAAGGCAGAATATATAGAACGGGGCATTCTGCTTGGTTGAGGAGTCATAGTCAAAGAGGTTGTCTTCTTTGAAGAATTTTGTCAAGCGTACGACGTTTCACAACTTCCACGAGCATTTTTGTGGTGGCACCAACTTCCAATCTATTTTCTTGTTGTTTGACGTATTTATAGTAAATTCAGGTGAGCGTAAAGAGGATAATCTATTTTTGTGGCGTCGGGGTGTCAATTATTTCCCATCGAATCTGTTGGCCTTTTCTCACAGAGCTCAAGAAGCCGGCTCTTTTACAACCCTCGTTTTTGACTGGCGCTCAAATTGTCTCACACATGCAGTTCGCTCTCCAGTCCAACACGCAATGTGCCTTGTGATATTTGTGCCGGTCCATTCAAATTAACCCTCCAGGGGGGACATCCTAAGGGGTTTCTGTATACACAGAAGAGACAATTGGTTATTTATCAGTTAGAGGGTACAAAAAAAGCAATGATCTTGCACAAACTGTTTTGCCTTTTGCAACATGTGGTCAAGCACATGTGTAATTCGGATTAACCTTTTAGCACAAAAAGATACCACATAACTGTCTCGCTTTTCCTCTAGTTTGAATCATTAGGCTGAATAGTCTGTCTTGTGGTGAAAAGGGTGAAGAGAAGACGAAAAAGCGGAAACAGACAGGGCAAGGATTTGGTTCATTCTCTGCCTGAATCTTCCCTAAGATTTGTTTTCAGGTTAATTGAAACTGGAGATTGCTTTTCTCGAGATTCTCAGCGTATCAGTCAGAAATGACCACAAACACAGATAAATTTTAACAGTCTTTAATTTATTTTAAAGAATGACATCAAATATATAGAAACTGACAAAAGCTGGACATTCGTTTATGAAATAGGCCACTGTCGATATATCAAAAGAGGTCATGTCCTGAGAACACAAAGAAGAGGAGTGATGACGTTAGTTTCTCCTGGGTTTTGACCTGTGCCGTTCTTAACCTCTTATTTCATCTGCACTTCCATTGTTTTCAGGGAGAGGGGTATTGTTATGTCACAATCCCGATTGTTTTCCCAGCCAATCTCAAACAATTTTTCAAATAGGTGCAGATCGCCACCGGGTTTTCTTGGATAACAGCACGATATATCAAATGACCCTTTCAAACAGAAGCCCCTACAATATTCTATCTTACCACTGCCATTCAAAAAATTATTTTTATCATTACAAAATGAAGCAATATTGTTAGGTAAATATGCAATATGTATTAAATGAATAAATGTGGTTGCATAAGTTAAGTTATTGCTACAAACATCGAATCGTTTTTGCTGGTGCTGACTTCGTTCCTGGCATACTTCCGTGATTGACAAACCAGCAAACGCTTCTTAAGCTTCTCGATGACATTTCGGATCTAAAAGCTATGAGTCATTAGTAAATTATTCATGAGGTGGAGTATGATCCATTAAATAAAAGAATTATATATGCAGAAGGAGAAGGGGTACCGGCTGAACGCCGAAGCGGATAGTCTCCTTCCGGTTGCTGACCCTGATATTGCGTCTTTAGAGAATAGCGTGTTATATATTGTATACCAAATTCCAACCTTGATCTTAGCTGCAGAAATTGTAACAAAGGTTCCTGCATTACGTATTGTATTGGCACCATCGTCGGAGATTTAATGTTATTTTTTCCGAACTGCTCCTGATAATCATTTTCTCGTTCCCGGTCACTTTTCATACCCAGACGTAGGTTTCCTGAATGATCTGCTACTGACACTATTTGAAAGAGCACAAAAATCTAAACTATAAAATCACCATAATTATTATTCAACAGCACCAAAGGTCTCTACAATATTTTGGATTTTTTTTCTTCTACTGGCAATATTGTGAATATTATCGAGGTTTTAACTTTTTCCCCGTTTTTTACCGAAACGACCAGTGCCAGGCTTCCTCTTTAGGCGAAAGGTGATCTGTTTTAACCAAGCCCACTCGTTATCTGGCGTTTTGCAAATGGTACCGCTCTAACCCATTCCTCTTTTCGGAAACGTTTTTAAGTCCAGTAGAAAAGGTAAGCCGCGCTCAAACTAACCCAGCCACACCTTCGTAACACTGAATTATGGCCACGGAATGATGTGGTAGGTTAATATCTGGCGTCTGAGGAACTCTGAAGGCAATGATCAGTCACACTATACCGGATAGCCCTCGCACCGACACTGAAAAGAACAGCGGATTTTGCTTCTGTTCAAAAATAAGAACGGTGATTTTCCGGCTATTTCTGTTAGGGGGCAAACTGCGCCGCCGTCCATCTTGAAATGTGGATCATCAAATATTGGATAGGTTTCAGCCACCTCTTGTCGCAGTGTAAAGAGGTTTTCAGGTAAATGAGTAGGGGCGAGCTTGGGCTGGGACCCACATTTTCAGGAGAGAGGACCGTGATTTATTTCACTAAACTGGCCTCTCGGTCAACCGCTCTGGTACAATGTTCGATGTGTGTGAACGACTTGTTCCAGTTCTCTACCGTTGCTGTTTATGCTTTGTCGAATACCTTTTCATGTCGGCGCAAAAAAACTATTTCCACTACTGTGTAGACAGACTAAAAAAGTGAAAGAACTAGAGATTCTTCGAATTATATTAACAACTTATAGTCATTTGTGGGGAATGGCCAACCTCGTTCCCAGGGTTCTCTCTTGGGAAAGAGGTTGGGGAATAGCATGCGATATTAATATGCTTAAGAAAATTGAACCCTATTTTAGTGCCTAAAATTTTTACGTTAACTATGTTATTCAGAATTTTCTCGATTTCTTTCAAATGAAATTAAATATTACTGGGTATCTTATTGTAACAACCCATTAAACAGTTGTGCTCGTCATCTAAGTCCTATAATTCCTTGGTTGGGAGAGGAGGGGGACTCCCATATGAAAATAGCGCGGATGCTGGTCGTCTCGCTTAGACGCAGAAATTGCATTTTTTTGTCCCACTTTGGGTGTGCAAGACAAAAAGCTAATATTTGTACTCATATAAGTGCCGCTTAATTCGGGTTGAACGTAAAGAAATTAAATATTTATGTATAAAAGATGTTGTCATAATGAGTTAATAGAGAGTGTTCTACTTTGGCGGTCAAATTATAGTCAGAAGAGGAGACTGGTTATGAATGCTAATGCTGGTAAACATTAACATAGCAGTTTAATATGGGCATTTACTTGGTGTTACGGACGGGTGCAATCTAATTATTAGTCTAAATATCAGTCGAACATTCCACTATGCTTTCATACTGGAGCCTCCCGGAGGGTCCTGTATTTGGGAGCTTTAGCATCGACGACGGCGACGGCAGCGAAAAAGTCACCTTTAAAATGAATTCGCGTTTTTTCAAACTGTATCACGCTTATTCCAATTCCCTGAAAATGTCAAATGTAGGCGTTTTTCCCTGGAGTTGATTTCTTAGGGACGACACTCAAGTTTTGAAAGGAAAACAAAAATTCGTTTTCGCTTGTTTACATCCTCCATACAACGTGAAATTAGGGATTTTCACGCTGTAGTTGTGTAGTGACGGCAAAGTAAACTACAAAAAAGCGTGATGCACGTGCAAAGTTGTTGTTTTGCCAATCAAATCTATTGCTTTTTTGAGGTTCTCGCTGCCGTCGCCGTCGTCGTTGCTAAAGCTCTCTATTAATCTGAAGAAGAAGCGGTTCTAAGACAAACATTAAACCATAGAGATCCTACAGAAATTACAGCTTCGAATCAAGAGTACTAGTTTTACTGGTGTTAGTAGCAGATGCCTCACGGTAACATGGCTGGTTCTGATCCAGTAGTTTGAAACAATAATAAGGGGTATCTTCTGTCATCATCTCTTCTAGTATTGGAATCAGTTGAGAGAATGAGGGTCGTTCATTTGGATCATCCTTCCAGCAGTCCATCATCAGTTTGTATCTGTTGAGAGTGGAAGCCATTGTTTTAAAATACTACCACACAAAGATATCATGTTTCCATTTACTTTTAATATTGGAGACACTTATGTTCTAGGCTTTTTTTAGAATGGGGAAACGTAAAGGAAAGAGGCGTGCTGTACTTTCCACTCCTTTGAAGAGGCTGACAATAATCGATAAAGAAAAAAAAACTGTTTGAAGGACCGCGTAAAGATTTCTTCATCGTGCCCTCTTTTCGGACGTCTTTTATTGTTTCTATTCTGACTTACATTTCATCGCTGCACGTGTTGGGTTTCTCCATCCGATATCCAGATTTAAGTAAACTGCATAGCCTCATGGGGGTTATCCCAGGGTATGGAGTACCCCCTGAAATGACAATGATAATTTCAAGATGAATGCTGTTTTATCAAAGATCATAAGGCTTTTTTGTACTATATTTTCAATTTGTCAGCTTAGGAGGGGGAAGAAAATAACGAAATGTACAAGTTTACAATTGGTTTCTCTAATACTTATCCACTGGAAAACGATTTGTCCATAATTGAATAGCGCTATCCCCCTTTTGAACAACCTTAATAACTAATTGGCTTGATTATTATTGGCCCGCGCTCCTCCTTACGAAAGTCTTTTCTCGGGGTGCGGAAAGAAATAAGACCGGACCGGAGAGAGCGGCGGAAATCGATCAGGGTGGATTTCCACTGTCGCGTAATTGTTACGCCGTGCGTACGCACGTTGTGTACGCACGTAAGTTTAATAGAGGCAATGTGCTGAATGTACATATTTGAGAGGTCGCGCGTAAGCGTCGGTATTGAGCGAGATTCAACTCAAAATATACGTTTATGTGCGACCTTCCATACATTGGCTCTATTTTATTCACGCACGTAAAATTTACGTGCGTAAATATACAAAGGTTTTTAAAAATACCAGCTTACCCATGGTGGCTAGTTCCCACAAAACAACTCCAAAAGACCATCTACAATAAAAGGAAGCAGATAAAGAAATAGCAACGGTTGAATTCGTATAAATAACAAATTTGGGAAAGAAAACAAAAAACTTTGTTAGCCTGGCACCATTGAACGTAATCGGTGAGGGTAAGCTTTTGCTCGGGAACTCCGGAATGAATGAAATTTGGAACCCAGAATCCAGATTGGAATCCGGAATCCTGCTAACGATTACAATCTGGAATTCAGCCCTTTTTTAAATCCAGAATTCACTGAGTTGGAATCCTGAATCTAGTATCTGGAATCCGGGATCCAAGACCAGCTAAACGTTTCTATTTATTGATTTTTATCATTACTTTTTTCAAGTTGAACGCCTGAACAGGCTATATTTTCCACGTCCCAGAATATTTCTCAAGAGATACAGTTTCGTGATAATGACTGTTATCCTAACTGCTGCTATAGACAGACTGTTATGACCAAAATTCTGCCTATTTAAATCTATTTATTTATTCTAAACAGTACATTGCAGGGTCTATGATGTCAAGAACCTCAATGCACTGGCAAACTACAAAGTCACACAGCATCACATGTAACCCAGGCTTGACCTAACAGTGACCGCATTAACATAAACTTACACGTCAGTCTTGAATGTAAAAATGCCGCTTTCCAACGTTCCAGGAGCCATCCATTTCATTGGTAGCTTGTTTACGCTCGTCACTTCGTAAATCTCACTCTCATTTGCGTGGCGTAACAAACCGAAATCAGCAATCTTTACCGCTCTGTCTTCACCAAGTAGGATATTACGGGCTGCCAGATCACGATGAATGAATCCTTTGCTGGCCAAGTATTCCTGGCAGAGAAATAGATCAACACAAATTTCTATTTGATAGGTCAAATGAAAGTAGAACTACAGAAGCCCGATTTTACGGGGATAGCAAAATCATATCATTTAATCGGGATATCGTTGTAAACGAACTCCCGATTTAACGATTTGGCGGAAAATCAACAAAGTGCAATGAAACGCCTGTTTCAGGCTCAAAGATAGCCCTCCACCGCCCTTTTTTCCTAGATCACGCGCTCATATTTTTGTGTGCCTTACACTTACGCGACATCTCTACTATCTGAGGACACTGCAAGCTGCGCCGGCCAAACGGTCTGGAAAGCGGGAGGAAGTGATCGTCGGTCATGTGCCTTTGACACTGTCGCGCATATTTCAATTATTCTTGAAGAATGGAGGGAGGATTTCCGTTACAGTTGTTGGAAAACGAAGGAACAAATTAAGTAATTGGCTAAGTAATCCTCGCGACGTATACCTTTCAGCACAAAAAGCCGTCAAAGTTAAACAAGCTAAGTGAACTAGCTACAGTCGACTCGAACCCTCGCTAACTCGAATCTTGCGCTAACTCGAACCAAAATCGATTTCCCCTAGGGTTTCCTTCTTACAATTACTGTAATATTACCCTTGATCAGTAACCCGAACCCTCAATAACTCGAAACTCCCGCTAACTCGAAGTAATTTTTGTTTTTCTTCAGATCACTTTTATACAATTTTACCCTCGATAACTCGAAGGGATGAATATTGCCTGAAAAATAAAGTTACAGCTGAGCCATCAGATATATCAATTGAACCATCATGGTGGCCGTTTACGAAAAGCAATCCCTTCAGCCATCAGTTCCACTTGCAGACCGTTTATTGTGCTTTCCATTATTCCGATTACGGTAGTATTTATCTTGTCCTTGCTGCTCATCCAGTCCCCCCCCCCCCAAAAAAAATTAATCGTTGCTTTTTCTTTCCTCAGCTTTTGCTCATTTCTCCCCCCTTTATTTCCTGTTCCGGCATGAATGTTAAGCTTCGTTGTACAATGCAAATAAAATAACTAATAGTTAAGTCTTATTCCGGTCATATGACTACATTCATAAGACACCTTTTCGAAACTATGAACAGACCTGATTTAATTTCAATAGGTACCTTCACAAACGGCTCCATGTGATTTTTAGGCCTCTCGGGCTATAAAACAAATCGTTTTTTGGCCTTTTTTAAAATCAAACGGCTCAATTTTACACGTGTTATGTTTCCCGAAAAATTCAGCAAGATCAAGTAGTTAACCATAATCAATAGCTTTTATAATTAACGCAGCAATTTGAATGCTTGAAAAATCTGCGGTCTAATGACCAGGTAGCATATACTTGTACACACAGAAAAACTAGTGATGCAGTATTTTAAACATGATACAGGAAAGGGGGAGATTTTTGTGATTCGCAAACGATGACTAAATTGCTTAAGGCATTCTTCAGTCGAAAAAGTTCTTACCATCCCCTTAGCAATCTGCCATGCATAACATAGAACTTCTTTTCCAGAAATTCCTTCTTCGTCATCTTCCTTGCCCTCACAGCTGCCTTCTTCTTTCTCGATGGTGATATTTTCTTCGGCGTTTCTTAAAGGCTCAGCAGGAGTGAGCTCTTTTTCTTTAAAGAAATGGGCAATATTGATCGAAGGTAACACCATCACCGACGCAACCGGCCCCTTTTTCCCTTCGCTTTGTGCACGTGACGGGTTGACATCGTCGCTTTCTTCTTCCTGCTTGTCATCTTCGTAACCCAGGTTTGAGCAAGGAGGTTCCATCTCAGATTTAGGCGCTTCGTTGATTAGAACTCCTCTTTCATCGTCGTCCAGGTCGATTTTAATTTCCTTCGCCTTGCTGGAATGATAAACACCTTCTTTTCCACTTTCTTCCTTACTTCTTTCCCTGTTCTCCTCTTTCAGGTTTTCATCCAGGACATCTGTTGCTTGCAGGTCCCTGGACACTAAATTCGGCCTCTCAGGAACAGGAAGCTTGAGCCTTTCAACGACATCACTTTGACGATTCTTTTTCATTGTAAGCTGCAAAAAAAATACTGAAATGAATTCCGTTTGGTTATGAAACCGTTTTTTTTTCATCAGAAACAACTTCAACACCATCAGTTGGTTAGCCGAAATATTTTTGCCCATTTAAAAGGAATCTCTAAGAATTGAAAGATTACTTAACCGACGTTTAACTGAAAATCTACCTGGGAATACCTTGTGGGCCCCCTTCTCTACATAGACCACGGAAAATTCAAATGGATTAAACTGCAATAGAAACTAAGCATTTCTTCTGCTTTGTTACAATTTTCTATGACATTTTAAGATACACAGTCTCAAAAACGCGACAAGTGTTTCTTGATATTTGGTTTGACCTTGTGACGTCATGTCTCGTACAGGGCTTCAGGACGGCCAATTATTATCTACACCAAAATATTATAATGGGCTTTTTAAGGTGGCTCGATACAGTTTTTCAGGGTCAATATCTCCCAAGTTTGAACATAAACTACGTCGCCATAAACAAAGATTTGGAAAAATTGCCACCACAGTTGTATTAGATAAAGATGAAAATTTGTTATGATCAAGGTTGCAATGACATCGGAGTTGTCATAGCAACGAAATGACGCTATTACCTATTTCACTTGCAGCAGTATTTCTCGGCACTGGGAACTGTTCTTCCAAAATCGTTTGCGGGAGCTTTTTTCTTCAATAGCCGCCTCGATGTTCGTGAAGTTTAAGCGAAATCTGTAAGAGCGTTATCGAGATATTTTGGGATAAAGTTTTTATGGTTAGAAATGCGGTAAAAAATGGACAATCTTAATATTCAGCTGTTATCTGTAGAAAACGAAGCGCTTTTGACATGCAATTTCACCTCATTGTAGTTTCAATCCTTTTAAAAACGTGGGTGACAGATCATAGAGATAGCTCCAGCCGATTGCTAGAAAGAAGGATTTGATTACTATAGTATATGTATCGACGCGCTCTTGTTAGCTGTTTGTAAACATTTTCGTCTTCTTTAACTAAGTTGCATATTTTAAATGCATTGTTAGTTACTGCTGTTCACGTGAAAATAAAACTTGGAGACAATACCTTGAATAATGAGAGGCTTTTACTTAATTGTAATAACGAAACTTCCGACAAAAAATTAACGAATTGTAGCTCTTATTTTACTGCCTTACAATGTATCAATAATCTTGAAACTACAAGGGCATATAAACGGAAGGTTAATCTCAAGAATATTGAATTTTCAAAAAATCTATCTAGCGGTTTAAAAACTATTCGCTAATTTGTTAAAGAAGACCAAAATGTTTACAAAACCGCTAACAAGAGCACTTCGGTGCATACTAATAAAACCCTTCTTTCTAGCAATCGGCTCCATTATCTGTCACACACGTTTTTGAAAGGATTGAAACTACAATGAGGTGAAATTGCATGTCAAAAGCGCTTCGTTTTCTACCGATAACAGCTTAATATTAAGATTGTCCATTTTTTTAACGCTTTTCTAACCATAAAAACTTTATCCTAAAATATCTCGATAACGCTCTTACAGATTTCGCTTAAACTTCACGAACATCGAGGCGGCTATTGAAGAAAAAAGCTCCAGCAAACGATTTTGGAAGAACAGTTCCCAGTGCCGAGAAATACTGCTGCAAGTGAATTAGGTAATAGCGTCATTTCGTTGCTATGACAACTCCGATGTCATTGCAACCTTGATCATAACAAATTTTCATCTTTATCTAATACAACTGTGGTGGCAATTTTCCAAATCTTTGTTTATGGCGACGTAGTTTATGCTCAAACTTGGGAGATATTGACCCTGAAAAACTGTATCGAGCCACCTTAGAAAATAACTTTTCTACTACGTCGGTCGGAGGGTGAAAAACAAAACTCTGGTGTTATCGGCTGATTTGAATAACTCGTCTAGTCACCATTGAAAGACCGCGGATCGAAAAGCTGACGGGCTTTTTAAGTGGAAGACGTTTGGAAGCTCTAATCAAGGACGGTTTATCAAATGGCGGAGCTCAACTACGGTGAATACATGGGAAAATGAGAAAAAATTAAGTAAGTTACCAGAAAGAAAAGCGTTCGTTGAAATAAACTATTCTTGTCTTGTTACCACGTTCAAGCAATAGCGTAGCCCTGCCATTAGTAATCCCGTGATTCGTTCTGACCAGAAAAGGTTAACGCCCACCTGGGGGGGGGGGGTGGAGGGAGGGAGTACTCTAAAAAATTCGAATAGTTGAGACAAGCGAAAACCAATATCTTATTGAACACCCAAACATGGAAAATGAGGCCAAGTTCAAGGGAAAAACAAAACCTAAGAATTAATGGAAACAGATAAAAACTTCCTTAAATCGTGCTCCTAATCAGTTCTAAAGAAAAATTCAGTTTTAACAGATCTATGATTTGCTTCTCGTGTGTAGGGCATTAACGAACGTGAATTTACCTGATAGAATAACGGTACCTTATCTAAAGATCACATCGGCAACACTGCGCCATTAATATAAGGGCAACAAGGATACCATATTTAAGGATGGAGATCCGCATCCTATCGGGCTGGAGTACACCCTGGGGCGAAACGCTCAAAACGTCAAGGTTATTTTTTTCTCTTCTGACCACCTACCCTTCCCCTAAAACAACATTAACACTACCTTCTCACTTAGGGCAAAATGTCTCTTAGGGAAGCGATAGGTGGGCAGTTTCCCGGAAACCTTAACTGTTCCTACCGGGGCAAACTTGACTTAATTAACTCAGTGTTGAACACAAATTTTTGTGTATTTACCGATCTTTGTTTTCCGAATAAATGAATAGCATCTAAACAGAAGATCTGGCTGCAGATATAAACTGCGTTTGCAAAAATACGAATATCAGGTTGCATTGATCTACATTTTTAAGTGCACCTCTGTCTTTGAGAACTTAAGTCATAGGTAACATGTATAAAAGTTCACATCGAGTTGTTTAGCATCTTATTATTTTTTACTGAAGACAAGGCTTTTTAGATGTGCCCTAAGAGACCACACAATGTAAGAAGAAGAACATACACACGCAGCAGGATGTTCATTTAGAAAATTAAAGTACAGCACAGAATACAATGACGTCAGAGTGACTAATTTGCAATGTTTGTCTGATATCTGGCATTTTTGTTATTTTCATGACAAAAGTCGGACAAGTTTGACATTTTAATGACAAAAAACAAACAAAAGTGAGGAATTTGTTCGTCTGAGTTTGAGTTCTATAAATAATACCTGTGCGCAGCGCTATTGCAAATGGCAAGCAGGTATTTTTTAAACAAAAGGCAAAAAAAGAGGGCAGCAAATTTTTATTGATACAGCTGTTAAATTAATGATACCTGTCGCCTTTTGATTCTGAGCCACTGAAGAAGATCTCCGTTTGGAACATATTCCATGATTAACATAATGGGAGGTGATTGGATCCAGTAGCCGAGCATGCTCACAATATTACGGTGTGTGCCGATTTCCTTCATCAGCTCAATTTCCCGAACTAATTGCCGTTTGTCCTCCTCCGCGGCATTTTCTAAAAAACAAAAGATTTAAAGAAAATCCGGGTAACAGTGACCTACGTAAATGCTTCACGATATCAGTTAGTGCTAAACAACTAAAACCAGATGTAAAGAAAAAAAAGACCTAATTAAAATAAAAGTATATTTAACCTATGGAAACAAAACACAGTCAATAGCTCAGGTCCTAATTTCTGCTTGAGATAAATCTATTTGTGAAAAAAATGGTTCCCTAAGTTAAGTGACGTAGATAAAACAAAGTCTTAAAAAATCCGTCAGTTCTCTTCATCTAGCAATCACCAAGCACGGCATGTAACATGATGTAATACTAGAAGATCTTTTACTCCGGAAACTTGTCTTTTAATTCTAGACGCCACGTTTTGTGTTCTTTAATTGCTTCCCTATTCTCGACCCACGATCACTTCATCTCCAGTAATATGACTTTCCTTGAGTGTACATTTGTATTCCTAACCCATCTATCTAACTGGCTCACTTTCATTGACTCTGCATAGACAGGGACATCCCTGTATGCTTTTGTAGTTGGGTTTCATGAAGGGTTTTCGGCTCACCGTCATCGTCATCATTATCATCATCAAGCTCTAAGGCGCTTTACGGTAAATGTTTTAAACTTAAACAACAAGAAAGCAGCAACTCGTTAAATTACAAACAAAGCAGAAAAATTGTTAAACAGAACTACAAAATAAAAATTACGCTTAGAAGTTTTTAAAGCTTTAAGATTGGTCTTAGAAGAACGAATATTAAAACTCCATTTGTGACCCTATTTGGGAAAACCGGGCTTAACGAAAACCGCGTTCAAATGCATTTCAATGAATTTCAAATGCATTTAGAATGCATTACAACGCTGGAGAACGATGCACAACGCATTTGCAATGTTCCCCAATTCATTCATGAAACACCGCCAATGTTTTTAAATGTTCAAGAATGATCTTGAAATGATTTCCAATGCATTAGCAATGCACTGGAAACGCTTCACAAAGCTTGTTTAGAAAATTGTAAAATCAGAATGAAAATAATATTATTAAATTCACCTTTGGAGTGACAACGTGACCTTTATAAAATAAACTCTGCGTTCGGTCAACATAAAGATTAAGCCCCAGCTAAACGATCAAATAGTTTCATCCAACATCGTCTTGGAAGAGCATCTTTGACCGTTTAGCCGCCTCTCATACGCATTTAAGTGGCTTTTCCATGTTTGATCTTGGTCAAATATTTTCAACCAACATTTCGCGTTACGAACAAATGTTTGATCGTTTAGCCACCCCAACAAACAAATTGTGCACAGCTAGTAAAAAGCAACCTAATGAACTACAGAAATATATAATGTCGAAATTTCAGCGATAATAAGCAAAAATTGTTCTGTGGACTCACTGTGTCTGGTGTTCGTTCGAGTTCCCTTTTTTTTTCAGAATGATTCGCTGCGCTGCTTGAAATGTTTTCAAGGACATGCGATGTACGGCACGTCGGTATTTTGTTTTCACTTTATTATAAACTCGGCCAGGTTTCGAAAAAAGTAGCGTTGTTTTTTTGGCTTTGTCGTTCGCTTTTGGCTCGTAATTCTTTTTATTCTTATTTTTCCATTTGCTGGTTAGATTTTTTCCCCAACATCAGATTTTCCAACAGAAGCGACTTTATTCTTCGTATCAAGCTTTTCTTATCTCCTCGTGTAATCTGATCCTTTTTAGTGGTGAGAATTGCTTGTTTCACATGGAAAACTTTTCTTTGTTTGGACTGTTGTTTTACAAGCTTCTCTTCGTTAACACCTTACATTAATGGCTCCTTAAATTAATACCATGCATCAAGTTTTCATTTTCCTTGACTGCCTGGGCCAGATTTAGGTGAACAAACAATAAAAGCGTACCACATTCAAGTTCAGTCTTCGCGTGCCGCTGAGGAAAGAACACACGTGCGCCAAGTAAGTTTACCGCCTTTTGATTGACTGAAACTGTCACACCACTTGGTCTCAGGGGAATCTTCATTACTTGAGGTTACACTTTTTGAAGCTCGATCGAGAATTTTTCTGCCTACAGCCGAGTCTTGCGCGGCTCTATTCTGCTGATGCCTCGACGCTCGGATGGCTCGTTGGCAATCAGTTTGAGAGCAAGTTATGATGGATTTTTATTTAATACGTGGGAACAGTGCCGAAAGGAGAGAAGGACCGCAAACGTTTGTTCGTGACAATGCTTTGAATGTCTGCATGTTACTCGTTAGCTGCTTGTTAGTGGTTTTCGTGGTTAACGTGGAAAAAGCCACGGACACGAAAGGTGAACGGCCTAGAGTTAACAATTAAATTTTGCACGGTGAAAACTAAATTGGCTGCCTCTACATCTCAGAAATTTAAAAGTTGTAAATATCAAGTAGATTTCTAAAGTTCAATATTTTTTTAGAGCATTTGCTGCTCGATTAGGACACAGTGCATGTTCATTGATTTTCGTCGACGTATTCAAGGTTCTTGTGTTCTGTTGGGTTGTCTGCACTTTTGTGAATGTTTTTCAATGCGATACTCAGCTGAACTGAAATGCATTGTGAACGTTTTAAAACGCGGTGCAAATGATTCAAAATGAATTCAAAATGATCTTCAATGCATTTCGTTTTCGTTCGCGAACGTTGTCAATGTTTTAAAATGCATTGAAAATGATCTGCAATGCATTCGAACGTTTCCAAAATGCGTTGAAATGGAAAAACGGTTCAACGGAGTTTTCGTTAAGCCTGGTTTTCCCAAATAGGGTCACATTTTACACCGTAAGTGCTCTGGAGAATCATTCTAAAGTTTAGGGCCAAAAAACGAAAAAGCATGATCGTCCGATGAAATTTTAACTTTGATCTGGGTGTCATTAACAAGTTCATGGTTGATGATCGCAAACTCCTAACAGGCTTGTAAGTTTGAAACAAGTGATGATTATAGCTCGGACTTGAAAAAATTAAATTCCGCCACAGATGCCCCAATGGAAGCCAATGTAATTCTCTAAGTAAAGCAGTGATGTGGTCACATTTACAACCACACACGATCAGAGAAAGTTCTCAATTGACAGAAAACTGAGAATAACGTATTTGAGAAGACCACATAGGAGAATTGGAACGACCAATCTACACATTACGAATGCATGTACTAACAGTTTGGTTTAATAATTTTATATCGTTTCACAGCGCTGAGAAGTAATTATGAGGACTGCACTGTTTTGCAATTTTTGACTACAATAGCCCTATAGTCAGGTTAACCCATTCAGCGTCATAGTAGTCAAAGAAAGGCTACATTAAAGCGCTATATACTTTCAATACATTTAATGACACATAATCTCGAGCCTGCTAAGGAGCACTTATAACACGACTAACCTTTGAACACACCTTATCAATATACTGACCTCGATCTCACTGAAGGTTCTTGTGTCTACATTGATTTATTCATTATAAAACGTCTATCCGATAGTCCAATTAGTGAAGGCCCGCGGTTTGGCAAATTGCAAACACTCGGGGAGGTCATTAATATAAACAGGAAAAAATGAAGGACCTAAAATGGACCCTTGAGGTACAGCACTCTGTTACTGATAGGGTATTGAGATTCTGTTTTCCACAATACGATATTTGCTACCTATCGGATTAAATAATTCAAACCTGTTAAGAGTCACTCCCGTAAATCAGTTTAGCATTGAGACGTCTGCTGAAAAAGTAAGTCATTCTGAATTCACGCACCTGGTAGAACTTTTGTAGCAACAATACGTCCCGCATGCGAATCCAAACTGTGATCCTTGGGTTTCGAGGATGTCATCTTTTCAGGTAGCCCCCTCATCACGCTCTTATAAACTCTTCCAAAAGCACCTCTTCCCAGTTCCTCCATGGTAGTAACCCGTTCGGGTGGGACTTCCAGCAACATAAGCTCAGTTATGTCGGACTCACTGGATCGAAGTGCAAATTAAATGTAAGTGAAATTTCTGGTCATTAATCATGGGCTCGTGGTAATGCTAAAATCAGGGTCGGCTTCCTAGTTGATACAATTTAGTAAGAGTTACACTGCTTTGGCCGGTAAGAAAGGTCACTTGTGGCTTGGGAGTGAGTAAGACACCAGATAGACATGCCCAGACACTTACGTAAAAATAATATCGCCTACAGTTTCCGCATCTATATTTGTATCATAGAGCAATTCAGCATCAAAGCATAATATTCTAAATTTGAGTGATAATAACATTTGAATGAAATACCGTTTATCAGTCCTCTTTGCTCTCTTACGGTAGACAATTATCCCCACCACCAAAGCAGAAAGAGCCACGCAAACTCCCAGCATTATCCAGGCAATCTTTGCAGTATCATTTTTAGCGATAGGGGAGCCTCCTGTAGGATCATTTTTGCTAATAAAACCACCTGACGTAGGATCACTTTTACTGGTAAGAGCCTTGCTGATCACTGAGGGATACAAGCAATTGTAAATGTTACATACACACATGCACACATTACATACATACATACATACATACATACATACATACATACGTAGATACACACATACATACATACATACATACATAGTTACGTACTTTATTTGAGTAGGTTAGAAGGGGCAGCCAGAGGCTGAAACGGGAGCTCTTCTTTGAAAGGGATAGCTGCGTTTTTCAGAATTTGAAAGCCTGAAAACTGTCATGGTATATGACGATGAACCCTTCGCTGTTGAAGAATGGTTTAAAAAAAGTACGAAGAAGAAGCTGAAGAAAATAATAAGCTAGAGCGAAAACTACGTGAAAGACTTGACGGGTCAGCACTAGTGGATTCTTTTGGTGAGTGCCGGCAAATCATTTCGTACGATCGTGTGAAGAAGTAAGCTTATGTAAATAATCGACTAGTTACTTGTTTGGCGGCATGATTGCTATGATGTATGAGGAGAGTTGTAAGCATTTGCTATAAAAAGCGGAATTTCTGGATGACTCTAGTTACCCTGAATGTACCGTACCTATATTCAGTAAGGAGCGGTGGGGTTAGGGCACCTGCTGTTTAGGATTTGTTCGATTAACCTTGTTCTGGAAAACAAGTCTACCTGGAGTTATGGAAACCGGGTTAGCAAACATTTTGTAATTTTTCTCAACTTCCCCTGTCTAATAGCTTGTTTACTGTGTTGTTTGCTTATGACGTATTTTTTTGGCTTGTCTTGTGGTTAGGGATTTGTGTAGAAGTGGATGTAAACATAATTACTAACTTACTCCCCCCCCCCCTACTTTTTTCCCTGCCCACAATTCCTTTTTAACACAAGTGACAGTTATCAGTTTGAAATCAGCGGACGCCTAAAGCTGGTTTCGGTGCCGTGTAGTAGTTCAGTTTTATAGATTGGTCACCTTGAGAAACGTTTCCCGGAGAGCATCATTTAAAGCTCTGAGATGGGACAAAGTTATTACAATTCGCAGAGTCTGAGTCGTCCAATTTCGCATTGTATTCTCGTTTCATTTGGCTAAACAGATCAATCACCCCGATCCGGGCTGAGACAGAGAGATACGATATTATTCGCTTTTCTAAGGTGACCACTAAGTCTTTGGCCTCGGGAACAGGCTCTTAGGATTCAAATGAATTAGGTGAGAGCAAAATTGCAGGTGAACTTTGACCCGGGCCAAGACTCCGTACGACTCTACATCCGGGAACGAGAGACGAGTGTAAGAGAAACGTCCAGAGGTGTTTATCTGGCAATAGGCTGAGTTTTTTCGAGTTATGCGATGATATTTCGCTTATGTTAAACGTTAGAATATTATGCGTGGTTGGGGATAGTCTTATCAGCGCCGCGAAAGTGTGTGATTGTGTGATTTCCGCATGGTGTTGACAGGTATGTGATCGCGTGGTTGAACTGCGGTTTCGCCAAAATATTCTGTGCCTCTTATAAAGAACAGGATTCCGCATGGAATAGACAACAAACTGAATGAAACACAGTGCACAAATTATCACCTTCTTATCTGCAAAAACCGGCCTATGGTGCAATGCCATTAGAGCCCGCTGAAACTAAACCTAGATCCATTTTTCCTGAGTCGAGAGTTGCTTTTCCAAGGTGCAATCAGCTAAGCTAAACACTGACGAAACAATATTAATGGCCGCGGAAAAAGGAGTGTTTTGCTAACTATTTAAGTTGTTATGTAAGCCTTAACCTGGCATTCTTTCGTTGCAGCTCACTCAACTTAAAAATTTCTAGACTGAAATGACACTGGTTTGAAACTTCGCGAATTTAAAATTTAATTTGCGTCATTTTAGATTTGGACTCGTTGAAATGTAGTCTCCCTCGCAGCCCTTTTGGATGTCACGCAACGCTCCCCCATTTTTAGGAACCTTTTCGTGCCAGACTCACCGTTTGAGACTCGTCCAATCACATATCGTTTTTTATCGCGATCCTCATGTGGAAAAGTATCACAAGCAACCCAAGACAAATGGCTTCGCTTGAAGAAGCTTTTCGCAAAGCGTCGTCAAAGTTCAAAATTTCCGAGCTTAATGCTTACCAGAAGTTTGCAATTAGAAACGTTTTCGTCGAGAAGGAAGATGTTTTTGTGGAAGGTGTTGACAGGTAAAACACGACTCATAAGCTCGTGATCACGGTGTGATACGTGACCTTATAGTTCTGCTCTAACGAGGATATCTCCCAGCGATTTTGTTCTTTTATATGAAATGATGGGACGATCGTTGTATATTTCTATTGTGGTTGATCTGGAATTAAGTGCCATTTGCTCATTAAAATGTTTTTAAGGTTCGGCAAAGCAGGGTGGTACGTGGTAACGAAAGGCAGAATTTTCTTTCGCACTTCATTGTTCTTTTGTAAAGCTGACTTCCGATCGGTAAATGTAACCTCAGAGGTGATTTTTCTATGAGATTGTGACGGTAACCACTAGCGCGAATGCGTTTTTTGAAGTTTTAGCTGTTCTCATAGAAGGATTTAATTAGCTGAGGAGTTAGCTCTCAGAAGTCTAAGGGCTTCGCCCTTATGAGACCTTTTCTGACCCCGTGAGGGTTACAGGAAAAGTCTCTGTAGGTTTAAAATGTGTGCGGATGTAGCGCGAAACCTTACGTCATTCAGATTTTCTGGTATGTGATTGGTCTGTTCAATGGACCGCAAACACACCGCAAGGACAATGAGAAAGGAATGTAGTTCGGATGTCAGCAGCCGTTCTTTTGGGGGAGCTTTGCGTGACATCCAAAAAACGGCTGCAAGGGAGACTAGTTGGAATGCTGCTAGGGACCATTAACGTTCTGCCCGGCGTCATATAAAGGCTTTTAATCGACCTTTGAGTGAGTTTTGTTGTTTTAAATTGCCAAGTAGTAGAATGAGTTGATATTTTTGCTAACCCGGTTTTCAAAAATCCGGGTATTAGTCCATGTAATAGAATCGCGTATAATCTTTTATTATTATTATTATTATTGCTTTGTTCATTATTTCTAATAACGCTTCGGGAGCATAAATCGGACGAATTACAGCTATTATAATAACAAGAATAATGGCGGAGGCAACGAGAGGGGCACGAACGCTGGTTTGTCAGCCGTAATACGTATTTAGCAGAACGACAACTTTGCAACACGCTTATCAGAAACTCATAAGGGGTTGAAACGTGTAACTCTCAGATGTTTGCTTTGTCCGATGCTCGTGATTATTCATTTTCGAAAGTACCATATTTGGAACGAGAAGAAGAAATAACTGACCAATCAAACTTCGTAAACAACGTGACGTAGTTTTACTTCAGGTTCCCGCTCCCGCTTAAAAAAATGGCCAACAAACGGGGCAAAAACTCCTGAAAGCCGAGGAAGCTTTCAAAGGTTGAAACCAGGAATCTTACCGAAACACTGAGCAGGATATTGTTGCCTTACCACCCGGGCCAAACGTAACATTATGAAACCCTTTGACGTCCTCACAACTTCTTGAAGTTGTCACTTCAAAAAACGATGCCTCGTTGACCCTCTGCACAGTAAACTTATAATGCAAATAGGCTTTTAAAAGTCTAGAATAAACAGTAAAAAATATTTTCGAATAAAATTGATTAGCTGCATATCGAAAAGTGTCCAAAACCTGAACCTGACATCTTCGCAAAAAGTGATGCGTGTAATGAATGTGAGAAGCATTTAAGCTTAAATTCAGCTTGGATGTTGTAGTCACGATCGTGTTTTGAGCTAATTTTATGATCGAAAGAAAAAACTCAAAACAATAGACAGAGAAGCCGTTTCTTGAAAATCTTTATTCAAAATCCAAAAAGTTAATCCTTTAAAGCAATTCTGAAAACAGTATCTCGATCGTGGATCCGTTCACACAAGTGAAATCGGCTGAGAACATGGCAAAATTCAACACAAAATCCATCTCAAATCGGGGAACATTTTGTAATTTTTGTTTAGCGCCGAAGAGAAAAATTTATAAAACGTCTATGAAACATTTAAAAATACATAAATTCCCTTTCAAGAACGTAATTGTCTTGGCCATAGAGTGCAAAATGTACCTGAAAATTCAGCAAAAACTTCACTGCCTTGCATGCGTTTCAAAACAGACCAGACATCCGTCGTGAAGAAAACAAGGTTGAATTCCTCGAAGGACGATTTCTTGATGAAAAGCATCCCTTCCTCCACAAAAAGAACGCTGAGCATTCTTTTGAACTTTCTCTTTCCATTTTTTTGTCTTTTAACGGTGTATTTTTAAGCCTGAAATGCATAACACTTGTCTTAAAACATCTGCATGGTGATCGCGCGGCAGCCATTGTGTTGAAAATGGATATCTGTCACTAAGGTTTCCAAATATGGCAAAAGTGAATATTCACGAGCATTGAACGCGGGTTACACGTTTCAACCCCTTACGAGTTTCTGCGCTTATTTATACAGTTCTTTGGGATGTTACTATAATTAAAAACGGTGAACGAGCACGGAGAACGGGAAAATGAAAAATGGGAACAAGTCCTAACTTCAGCCCTAGCCCACTCCCAGCCCTCTCAGTAGTTTCATTTCCAATTGTCTGTTTGTTTCCCTTGCTCGTTCCCTGCTCTCTGTTCCCTGTTTTAGCATCCCAGTTCTTTGCCGTCATTATACGACCACGGCTTGAAACTGCCAATTTTTACGTGTATCGAGGATTTGAACACATGATAGCGATTTTCTTTTCTAAACTCCTACACAATTCTTTAGAATTTAGCCCGTATGAATATTGGCCAACATTGGACAACTTGATGGAGGTAATTATAAGAGCGATAAAGTTTGAAATAGCGTGTGTTCGGTTTTTAAGTGACGTTTTCGTCACTGTCGCAGCCGTGGCTGCTGAAGCTCCCGGGGCACTCCTCATCAAAGCACCCGGGCTGACTTTGATCATTCATAACTTTGAAACGAACAAACAAAATTTTACCATCCCGGATATTTTTCTGAAATTTAACAGGATTAATAGTCTCCTATATTAATCATTTCCCCTGAAGATTGACGTATCCACTATAACCTCTTTCTCAATGATGATAAAAAAAAAGTTTCTAAAAACCTTTTTTATCTCTTTCAGTGAAAGTGGTTTCGATTGAAGAAATTGTTATACTTTTGCTGGCTTCATCGCCAATTTGCCAACTGAGGCCCAAAAGTCGAGATGGTCATGAAAAATGTAAACATACGTCATGACAGGCTATTTGAAGGAGAACTATCGCTAAAAGTATAAAAATTATATTTAGCTTTAGCTCCCCATTTGCGGAGGCTCATCTGTTTACTTTTATCGTTGTTCTTGAAACATCTTAAGACTTTCATGTGGTTAATTCCGTCGTGATTTGTTTTACTGTCTACGTGGCTTTTGAGGGAGCAGAAGGGGGTTGCCCGCTTCTCTAAGGTGTACAGTTTATGGGCGTTCGCAGAGGTTTGATTGGTTATGGTTAAGTGTAAATACCAAATCTCCCTCAGCTATTAGACATACAGTGTACATAAGGTAATATCGCACCTGTAGAGCGGGTTTTAACTTTCCAAGAAACTGACCAGTCGCCTTCAACATCTCCAAACCAGGAAGACACTCCAATTTCGTACCCCTTGTCGCATTCCAGAGATAAAAGATGGAAGGTGGTTGAACGAACCTTATGTTCTGTCCATTCAGCTTCAATGCCTAGTGGCTTTATCTCCCTGAAGCGTACAGTGATCTTCGTTATGGTGCATATTTCCTTTCTACTCCACGTTACATTGACTTTGCAATCATGTATTTCCGAGTCTTCGATGTTTATCACGGGTGCAATTGGTTTGCCTTTAATTACCAAGAGAAAAATACTACGATTATTTAGTTATTTCCACTGACGTGTTTGCAGTGAAAGATAAATGTAGAATGGTACACCACTAAACCTACAAAACTGTCTAACAACTATTAAAACTCAAACAATTAACAACCAGCTCGTGAACGCCATCTTAACCCTATTCAGACTGGGGGGGCGCTTTTCGAACGCCCCCTCCGGCAAAATCGTGATAACTCCTACATCGAAAGAGCTATGACGTTCAAATTTTCTGACTTTTCCTAAAATTTATCTAGGAACATTTTGATGCATTTACCATGTCCATATGATTAATCATGTTGCCATGGCAACCAGTTTCTGACACATAGGTTTTGGAAAATTTAAAAACTGGTGATTTTTTTGTTTTAAGATCGCGTTTTTACACTTATATTGCTTTTTGTTGTTAAAATGGTCTTTGCTTGGGACTAGTTTTTGAATCACATCAAAATGTTTCAACATCGAATATTTGGGGGGGAGGGGTGGGGTAAAATTTGTCACTTTTTTGCTTTGACAAATATGCTGCTCTATTTTCCAAATAACACTTCCAAAGTCATTTGTTTGGGTAATAAACATTAGTTTGATACTTCTTTTATACATTCTGAGCTTTTTCCCCTTTGAAAGTTGCTTTAAATTATAATTTTAACAAAAAAAACGGAAATCCAAGATGGCGGATCCAAGATGGCGGACAACCATTTCAAATTTTAAATTTTATTACTTCCTATTGCTTTTTCTCGCTGTACAAGTGTTTCCTTGTTACTAGTTCATAAGAAAGGATAACAAAGAGATGACTTTACCAATATTATTGATATTTTACGTATCTAAGTGGAAAAATAATAAGAAACATTAAAAAATCGGAATATGACGTCACTGTGACGTCATCATTGGGCGTGGCAAGTCAAAACTGGGTGTGGGGCTTCTTTGTACGGAGATGATCATTGTGTGTAAATTTCATGACCCTAGCATTATTTGTTCCAGAGATACAGAGGGGGGGTCCGAGGAGCCCTCCCCCCCCCCCCAGTCACAGATTGACCAAAAAAGCCTAGTCTGAATAGGGTTAAGTAACCCAGCTAATTATGCTCATGCGTTGCGTTCTGTAAAAAGAGTTCTGCTGGACTTAGATGACAAAAAGTAGACAAAAAAATTGGTTTTTGTTACTAAAATTTGCCTGCAATTCTGCTCTCGGGCCAAAAAGAATTGGTAACTGACATGATCAATTTTTTTGCTGTAAAACTACAGCCGCCTGGTTAGCTCAGTTGGGAGAGCGCCGGTCTGCCGAGCGGTAGGTCGCGGGTTCAAACCCCGGCCGGACCAACACTCAGGGTCGTTAAAAAACTGAGAAGAAAGTGCTGCCTTTGTAATGACATCTGCAAATGGTTAGACTTTCTAGTCTTCTCGGATAAGGACGAAAAAACGTAGGTCCCGTCTCACAGCACTTTCACTGATTTGTTCTTGTGGGACGTAAAAGAACCCACATCACTATTCGAAAAGAGTAGGGGTCGTATACCCCGATGGTGTGGCCAACCTTTACGGGTTGTGGGATTGGGCAGGGATGGCACCTTGCATGGGACCTGAGTCCCGTTCGTGCACATTCCCTCTGCAGGCCTGTGTCCGGCAAAGCTGGTAAATAAGTAAATAATCAAAGTGCAAATTACTATAATAGTGTTTGGAAAATTGATGACGAATTGTGCAAAAAAAAAAAATTATGCTAGCGCAATCTTTGAAAGGGTAAACCATAACTGTAAAAAAAAAAACGTTCAATTTTTTACATCCAACTGAACTCGATTAAGGACTTGAGACTGGAGTCGAACAATACGATTTACCCTCGAATAGATACTACTCTCACCTTTACTCAGGTCAGAGACCTGCTTCGCAGATAAAGCCATTCCAGTCACATAAAGATCCATGACTGCTCCAACAAACACCCCATTTGCCATTGGCATCTGGACTAAACCTGGAGCATTCCCTATGATGTACTGTGATTGATAACGGCCAAACGATGAGAAGAAATACTCATTCCATTCGTCCATTAATGCCTCTTCCGTACCATTAAAGAACACCTTGATCATATGCAGCTGACAGGTTACTGCTACGTGATTCCAGTAATTGATTGGTAAGTGGAAAGTGTTGTGTATCGATAAAATGAGTCGGAAATTCTTGACCGTAACGAAAAATAGTTTTCCACCCTTTGACCAAAGTGCCAGTATAGGCCCGTCAACACCAATATACTTTACCCAAAAAGCAATCGTAAAGTCACAGGTTGTTATGTTAATGTTGGGCACAGTAGCATAGGAACCATTCTGATTGAAAGTCGCCGCTTTGCTTCCAGGACACCAGCCTTTAGTATGGTTAACGGTACCAAAATACCTGTAAGATCACAAAAACCAGTGAATAGAATCTAGCTGTGAATAAAAGAATTACCTGTCATATTAACGTTGAAGCCACTATTTTTTAAAAAGAGAATGGTCAATCTAAAAAAAAATTAAAGAGTTCGAGAGAGCTAAGAAGTGAAGACGTTGTCGTATAAAATATTTGGAAATCCGACAGTAGGGGTAAGGCATAAAAAGCCAAACCCCATTCCCCCCGCCCCTCCCCGCCCCCAACATTAAACAAACTAGATACATATAACCCCACTAACCTCACATCTGGATCACTGCCATCTAGAAACCAGCGGCGGTATACGGGGTTTCCTAACAAAACGAACAAGTTCATTCCAACAGTAAACATTGCGATATCCAACAAACCTGTAATACCCTACTGTTGATTTCATTCCGTTTCCCTTTACAATATGTAGAACTATAAACGTTTTAGGTAAATCTAGGACCCTTTAACTGAGGCCGAAAAAGGCATGTATACGCTCAATAACAAGGTTTTGAGATGAAACATTTCTTAGTCCGAACTTTGTGTTTGCTTGTTGTTTTCCCAAAGGGTCTCCACAATGAATAGGAACAACGTGTGTCATGAATTCCTTATTTTCTAACTCGGGCATTCTATGACGTCACGCCGAAGTCAAAGTATCAATAAGCTTAAAAGTTTCTTCAATAGGAAAATAAAGAATCGGACTTAAGAATTCACGTTGTCATATTCATACTACTAGTGGAGATTATATGGGCCGGGCCGGCAGTGCGGAAGTGTGTTAACAGGAACAGCTTCACCCAAGGCCTGAACAAGCAATTTACTTGGCCGACTTATCAAGAGGGTACGCAATGTTTTACACACAAGAAACCAGTATTTAAGGCCCAGCGGTCACGAAATTAAAACGCCACAGTAAATGTAAATTCAACATGTTTAACATCCTACGAATGATTGTTCTCATTGAAGATGTAAGTACTGTATACCGTATATTCAGTAAGGAGGGGTGGGGTTAGGGGCACCTGTTTAGGATTCGTTCGATCAACCTTATTCTGGGAAACGAATACGTAGAATGGCGTGTCATCTTTTTTTAATCATTTTTTTCTTTATTCCTTTGTTTCGGGGAGCATAAAACGGAATAATTACAACAACAAGAATAACGGCGGAGTGTCGCTTACACAAAAAGGCAACGAGAGGGGCAAAGAAGCAAGAGGTTTTTATGGGCGGTACAACAGCTTTGCACGTGCAGCACGCTTTTTAGTCTCGCTTGCGTAAGCAGCAACACTCATAAGATGTGCAAGCCGTATTTTTTCTTCGTATTTAGGACACAAAAGGTAGATCATGTTCCCAGGCGTTCCTAGCGGAGACCGTGGAAACTGGGAATAAGAACCGTTGCGTAATCGAAGCCATGCATGTTTGGCGAAGAAAGCTTAGGAAAGATTAATGCGGTTTAGAGCTTTTCCGGAACGTGTCGGTCCACGAATTTTGTTTGAAAGCTTTGATTACTTTTAAATAGAACAAGTGAACACTCTAATGGTCGGAATGCAAATGATTCTTTTAATGAGCATGCGGTTTATTTTTGGCTGTTTGGCCATGATGTAATTTGCCCCGAATCGAGACCCTTGATTTTCGTTTAATTTATACACGCGTATAGCCTGCGACCGCCAACGTATTTCCCTTCGTCGCTCGCACGCGTACTAAATAAACTCAGAAACAAATCGTCGAATACGATAGGAAAAATAAATATCCTGAAGAATACTCGATCGTCCATAAAGAAGGAATTGAAAATCTATTAAAGAGGAAATCCTGTTTCATGCAGAATTAATCGCCTCCTAAACTGCGAGCAGTCTCTTATTTTTCTTTTGAGTCACGGTAGGTCGAGAGCATAATTTTCACTTTTTTGCTCGCCGAGTGTGGCTTTTAGAAAAGAAGGACGACCGCTCGCGGTCTAATCGCCTCCTCATTTTTTATCCCCAAGCAGGCGAGTCTCAACGCTTTTAAGAGCGTTCTTGTTTGTACAGTTCTCTGGAATGTTAATAAAACAGGGAACGAGCCCGAGGAACGGGAAAATTAAAAATGGGAACAAAAACTAAGTAGAACCCTAGCCCTCTCAGTAACTTGGTTTCCAGAAGTCTCTGTTTTGTTCCCACTTTTCATTTTCCCGCTCCTTTGCTCGTTCCCTGCTCCCCGTTCCCTGTTTTAGTGACAAGCCAGTTCTTTGCCGTCAATGCCGACCACGGTGTGAAACTGCCAAATTGTATACGTTTTATGAAGGACTTGAAAACATGGAAAAAAGATTTTCTTCTTCTTAATTTCTAAACTCATATACAGTTCTTTGGAATTCAACCCGTTTGAATCTTGGCCAACCTTGGACAACTTAAACGAGATGGAGTGAGAGCGATAAAGTTTGAAACAGCCCGAGTTCATTTTTTTATTTAGCCACTCGCCCCCGTCGCCGTCGTGGCTGCTGAAGCTCTTGGGGCGACGCCCCATTAAACGTTTATGGGAGGTGATAATAGACTTATTTTCTTACACGAGGAATTAAAAATTCGAAGAAGCTATTTCTTAGTCAAAACATCCTCTAATTTCGAACCCCGCACTTTCCAAATTAAGTTATTTTTCAAGGGAAAACGCAAATGATAACCTTATTACAATTTTCATCCGTCAGATATTGCTTTTTAATTCCTTTTACAAAAGAAAAAAAAAAAACAAATAAACAGAATAAAACGAAACAAAACATAGCGCAATAAACCAAAAAACAATAATTTATCTCCCGTCAACAAATTTGATCATTGCATTGACGCCATCTAGATCTTTGTAACATCTTTGAAAACAGAACGATAGTTTTGAAAGTTTCTTACGGAGTAATCCAGAATCTTTTCCTGATTTAAAATACGTTCAATCAAATGCACCATTAGTACTTTGGCCTCAGAGGGTGGAAGGAGGAAGTGGCCGGGGGAGGAAAGCTATCCTAAACTGGGCGCCAATCATGACATTATGGTATAGAGACTTGTTGGACATACAGTGTACATAAGATAATGTCGCACCTGCAGAGCGGGTTTTAAATTTCCAAGAGACTGACCAGTCGCTTTGAACGTCTCCAAACCAAGAAGATACTGCAATTTCATATCTCTTGTCGCATTCCAGATGAAGGAGATAAGAGGTGGTTGAAGTAACATTATATTCTATCCATTCAGCTTGATCGCCTTGAGGCTTTATCTTTCTGAAGCGTACAGTGATCTTCGTTATGGTGCAGAGTTCTTTTCTACTCCACCTTACATTGACTTTGCAACCATGTATTTCCGACTCTCCCTTGTTTATCACGGGTGTAATGGGTTTGCCTTTAAATTGATGAGAATCATACTACGATTATTAATTTATTTATTTCCACGCATAGTGCTAGTACTTAAGTTTGCGCTTTATCAATTGAAAGTTCCAAACTGCTCTTGATGGTCAAACAAAGCCTATAAAAAGAACATTCAATTTTTTAATAACACTAGTTTAATAACTATGAATATTCCATCAAATGATAGAGTAAGCCTTAGTAAACAAAAGTTGACCAATGAAATGGGCCTTGTCTCAAATATAAAGTCAAAAGTCGTAAAAAAGCATACGAGAACCGCTCTAAAATCAGCGTTATAGCAATTAAACCAGCTAAAAGAACCGGAAATTTCATGCTGTGGGTTGTTACTACTATCTGGCATCATAAAAAATACTTGTGAAGGATACAAAGGATCAGTACTCATTGAGTCTGAGTAAGCAATAGAAAAAGCTGATTATAAATGCGGCAAGAGCTTTTATTTGGATCCTATTTTAGAGCCACAAAAAGAAAATAATTGAAAATCCAATAGTTGATAAAATATTGGAAATGATTGCAAGGGGTAATACAGATAGATTAGATTTTGGCTTTAAAAAGGTAACCAGAGATAATTCCCGTGTAGTATTTACAAATGAAACCAAATTCCAAACCAGAACCACACACAAAAAGTGAAATAATGTATAGCCACAAGTTATTTCAGTATAGTGATATAATTGGGATCCGCTGGTTTTAAGCTATTTATATTCCAAGAATTTCCCGGATCACTTTTTATGGGTATGTGAGAAATAACCGCTACGATATAAAATGCCCTGCATCGCTAGTTGGTCCAAAATTGTCTGCAACACGAGTTTGGTCCACACATAATATCACTTTTTAGGGGTATGTGAAAAACCTCCGTGACAGCCACCGTAGTGATAACGGACCCCTATTAAGGATTTGAGACCGCAGTCGAACAATACGATTTACCCTCGAATAGATACTACTCTCACCTTTACTCAGGTCAGAGACCTGCTTCGCAGATAAAGCCATTCCAGTCACATAAAGATCCATGACTGCTCCAACAAACACCCCATTTGCCATTGGCATCTGGACTAAAACTGGATCATTCCCTATGGTGTACTCTGACTGATAACGGCCTAACGATGAGAAGAAATACTCATTCCATTCGTCCATCAATGCCTCCTTCGTACCATTAACGAACACCTTGATCTTATGCAGCTGACAGGTTACTGCTACGTGATTCCAGTAATTGATTGGTAAGTGGAAAGTGTTGTGTATTGATAAAATGAGTCGGGAATTCTTGACTGTAACGTAAAATAGTTTTCCACCCTTTGACCAAAGTGCCATTATAGGCCCGTCAACACCAATGTACTTTACCCAAAAAGCAATTGTAAAGTCACAGGTTGTTATGTTAATGTTGGGCACAGTAGCATAGGAACCATTCTGACTGAAAGTCGCCGCTTTGCTTCCAGGACACCAGCCTTCAGTATAATTAACGGTACCAAAATACCTGTAAGATCACAAAAACCAATGAATAGAATATAGCTGTGAATAAAAGAATTACCTGTCATAGAAACATATAAGACAAAAATTTAACCAGTTAACACTGTGAGTGTGATGCCACCTGCAACAGTCGGAAAGGCAAATGCGTAAGTTTGAGGCCATGCTGAAACCTGGATGTCATCGAGAGAGAATGGTCAATAAGAAAATATATTTAAGAGTTAGGGAAAGTTAAGAAGGGAAGGAAAACCCGACAGTAGGGGTAGGGCATAAAACGCAAAAAAAATAACCTTGAACAAACAAGATATATATAACCCAACTTACCTCACATCTGGATCACTGTCATCTAGAAACCAGCGGCGATATACGGGGTTTCCTAACAAAACGAACACCTTTATTCCAACAGTAAAGACATCAAACAAACCTGTAATAACTGAGCTACTCTCCATTTCCTTATTTACTTCCGTCTTCCGCGGCATTTTATAATCTTTAGAATCATAAGCATTTAAAGTAGACTTAGGACTCTTTAACAGCGACCGAAAAAGGCATGTATATTTTGTGGTTCAATTTTATCCATGGTTTAAATTTTTTTATTTTTTATTTTCCTTAGTTTTGGGGTATGGTAATGTGTGATAATGAGTTTAAAACAAAGAAAAATGAAGTTTAAACCAAGGAAAAAAATTAAACCACAACATATACGCTCAATAACAAAGCTTTGAGATGAAATATTTCTTAGTTCTTCTGAACTTTTTTTGTGTTTGTTTGTTATTGTTTGTTGTTTTTCCAAAAAAAAGGGTCTCCACAATGCATAGGAACAACTTGTGTCATGAATTACTTCTTTTCTTTCCTGGGCATTCTATGATATCCCGCGGAAGTCAAAGTATCAGAATTAAAGGTTTCTTCAATAGGAGAAACCTATTCAATAGGAAAATGAAGAGGTTTCTTCAGCGGTCACGAAAATGACGGTAGATGTAAATATTAATATTAGTAATACAGTAGTAAAGGCCGCCAAAAGTGATAAATTAAACAAGGGTTTTTTCCGAATTCCACAAAAGAGGGATGTTACCAATAAAAATTACCTTTGCAGCCATATAGTTCCACCCTCATTGAGATGTGGTTATGCCAAGCTGTTGGTTGAAAACGTGTGTAGCGTGCTACAATCGACCCATTGAGTTCGTTATAAACGATAGTATTCTCGTCTGTGTTGCCAACAAAGACCTGAAGCAGGCCAGAAAAAGAAAAGAAAAAACGAAGGACAATTAGTCGCGGTTTGGCGCCATTTGCCTGCCATTCAAAATCGACGGATGATATTTTGTGTCGACAGGCACTGAATTTCAGAACACTCGATGTCCCTGCACACCTAGAGGTAACCTCTGATACGGGATGAAAGCTGTTCACAATGGCATGTAGACGAAAAAATATCATTGTCTTTGGTTGCGAAGTGGAATCATTCGGAGAAAAGCGAGTGCTTTGTGGTGAATGTTACTGATGTTGCAATAGTATGGAGGTTTTTTTTTTGCTCGATTATCGTAATTTTTACAATGGATTTTGAAACATTGCACGATGAATATGAAATATGAGCGGGGTTTTGGGGAACAAAAGAGACTGTTGACCATTTACTTTTAGGACGAAGCAAGAGGTATCTGTGACGAAATGTGGTTTATCTCGGAAACCACAAGAACTTAATGAACTTATAGTATGCCTTAGCGTTTAATGTTACCGAATAGTTTCGTTATCGCTAGCTAGCCACGAGCACATGTATTCTTTCACTTAAAGTCTGTTCTACAATAAACGTCGCTTGCTTGAGCACAATATATTTACTCGCGTGTCGTTACATGGTTGCAGCGAGTGGAGAGCTAATAGTGGTGAAATATTACACATAGCCAATCTCCGAACAAGTCAACATGAGTGCGGCAACTGGATTTTCGTTACCGTCGCCAGCACCCTATGAAATACATGACCCCAACGTTGCAGAGAAATGGAAAACAAATCCTACTGGTGTGGGAGAATTACGCACTTGCAACAGAGTTAATTAAGAAAGGTGAGCCTATTCAAGTGGCCACAGTATTAACAATGATTGGCGAAGAAGCAAAAGAGGTGTCTTCTACCTTCAATGATTGGGTAGCAGACAGCGACGATAAGACCGGACCCATACGGATAGCTAACACTCTCGGATGAGACGAAAAAGCCACCTAAAACTTTTGTGACTACCAAAGTTCCCCTAAGACATCCGAACAGATAAGTGGTTTTTAGGGCAGTTCCAAATTAACCAAACAGGCTTCAAAAAGCATAGAGAAAATCATCTGAGACATTTCTGGCGTATTTGGCAACATTCGGCCGTTGGTTGCCCCTGGAAAATTACGCCTGTGTTGAAGAAACTCGGAGATTCTTGCGAACCACGCAAAAAATATTCTTTTTGAGAGATCCACGTTTAACCGCCGACTCAAGGGCGAGGAGAAACCTACGATCCCCCCAAATCCTAAAGTCCTAAAAGAGGGAATGTCAACCTTAAGAGCCAGTCTCTGTTAGATCCTCATATCGAGTTTTGCCTACAAAATAGATTTCGCTCATAACTTTTCTGTAGACTTCTTTTAGTTAGTACATAACAAATATGAAACTAGATTGGAGAAATTCGCTTCTGTAAAATTTTTTTAACGAATTTTCTTTCGGCACCACACGAGGGCCTGAGATGATTGCGAAATATGCAAATCTTGTCAAAATTCAAGCGATTGCTCCGGATAAAGGAGTGCGCCCAAAATCTTCCAGTTTACTAATTATTTTAATTAAACCTTTATCTTAAAAATGATACGGGTCGAAATCATCGACACCTTTTTGTATACAAAATCCGAGGAAACAAACTTAGCCCCTTTGACCCATTTAGCGAAACATGCGATTTTAGCCAAATTCAGTGGATTAAATCTCAAAAGTGGCTCACACTTACAGACTCTCCTGCATATCATTGTGTAGTTCTATCCTTCAGCTACTGAATCGTGTTAAACCTTTTAGCGGTCATTCAGTTTCGGTCGAGGGGTGAGTGGCGAAAGTTACACTACTTGGCCATTTCGCCGGCATTTCTCTATCGCGAAGTCTAGAAGGATTGTCAGAACAGAAAGCGAGAAATCGGGTATATGCCTTTCGAAGATTGACCATTCCTAAAGACTGCATATTTCCAATCACTGTTTTCGATGTGGCAATGGTTTTAACACAACGAGGAAGGGGTAGAAGACGGTGGAACGTGAACTATATATACGGCTGTCCGCCATGTTTTTGGAGGGTTTGTGGAACGGTGGAATCTGGAATCCGGAATTCGCAACCCTTTTCCTTTTTTTATTTGAGGAAAATCATTTCGCCTTTACAATATTTTTTTGCATCTCTTTTTAATATTAATATATAAGTGCAGTTGTATATTTTTTACACAAAGCAAATGAAACGGAAGTTTTACAATTGCACTGAAATGAAATGTAATTTAGAACATCAAACCCAGCAGATATTCACTGGGGCGGACAAAGGATTTTGTGATAGAGGGGGCCTAGAGATATAGTCAACATGAGTGGCAATATGGGCGCGATAGCGCCCATCAGGACTGCGAACGGGGCACTATTTTAGGGAGTTTCGCGCGGATGCTCCCTAGGGAAAACTGGTTTGAGATTGGAGTTCTCTAAGATGCAATCTAGTGAATTCTGGACGCTTAAATTTAGCAAATGCCTGGATTCCATATTGAACATGTAATGCAGAAATATTTAATAAACCACCGTTGTGGTTGTCGTCAAAGACGTAGCAAGGGCCGAAGCGATTGCGGCGAGTGCACAACCTTCCGACAAAGGCGGCAACATTACCTGCCTGAAAAATTGTCAAATCTAGTTTGTTTGAGACGGAAATTTACTACATACATTCTGAGAGCTTTGGTCATTTGCGACTAAAAATGTAGGCTTGGAGCAGAGATTATTTTCTTATTAACATTGTTTATTAAAAGAAAACATGTTTAAGCAACAAAGCTCAAAGTACTATCCGAAACACGTTTACAAAAGAAAAAAATTCCCGGACAAAAGGGGGGGCCGGGGCCCCCTGGGCGGACCCCTAAATCCGCCCTTGATTCAGGCTCTTGATTTGCTTTTAATACATCTACAAAATGTTAATTGAATGATGCATGGTTCAATTTTACCTATAACCATGCCCCCTGGGCACACCCCCGGGGATTTGCAATTTTTTTTCTTTCTTGGAGGTCTATTCCCCATCCCCGGGCACGTAGAAAGAGACAATTCCCCACCCCCGAGCTCCTGATCGACCTCGTATACGTTTTTTGCCACATCTTTTTGATCCGTACAAAGGCAAAACGACACTTTTTCACAACTTTTATGAACGTTTCCCTGAGTTTTTTGAGATAAGGATAATGGATGTCATAATGTAGCTAAGACATGATCAATAAATTTGAAAACCAAAACGAAGAAGAACAACTTTTTAAAAAGCGCCTCCTTGATAGAACACTTCATGAGAACACTGGACCGAATCTCTGTTTCTTTCTATATATATCAAAAGCCTTGTGTTCGTGATGGAGACTCATCATTATTTAAAGCTAAGCTGAAGAAATATTTCTGTCCTTCCCTTCCAGAAAATAAAATCCATTCGAGTACGCATCATACGCCCATTCGTTTCAAATTTTAAAACATTCCTTTAAATAGACTTTAATTTTGATAAGTTATTCCTTTCCAACCACTCTCCGACAAAATTCCTGCGTTTTCCTTAAAAATACGTTCTAATCTTGAGGTCCTCAGCTATCGTGTAAACCGCGCGAGAAATAGCACGCACTTCGCAAAATCAAAGAGAAGATATTTTTATTTGCCCCACCCCCTTACCCACGGGACAGGACCCCTTCGAACAATTCCCCACACCCGGGCCCGAAGGGCTGGATTTGTCCCGGGGGTTGCCCGGGGGCGATATACTACAGCACAAATAACTCCTAGACATGAAAAAATGCAGATAAGCTTTAACATCAACCAGGTCCATTTATGAAATAATTCTATGTTCTTAGAAACGGTTTGTTTTTTTTTATTCTGTACACGTTTCTTTACTTGGGTTCTTCTATTTGTATAAATCTATTTTAGGAATGTTAGGTAAACACTGCGTGACACGCGACTCCTCTAGCTACTTGACGTACAAAACGGACAAAACAAAGCAAAATTTGACTGTGCCTTATGCTTAATTTATCCTTTTCCCCCACTTATTTATGCCCTACAACTCCTTTAAAAAAAAAAAAAAACGAGAGTTAAAAAAAAAAAAAAAAAAAAAAAACAGAACAATTGAATGAACAAGGGTAACAAACATCTCGCGGATTTCTTGAATGCGCCATTTGCCAGTTAATTGGTTTTTTACATTGAAGGGCAATCTTTTTTCCTTCATGGCCAGGATACCGACAGTTTTACATGGCCGCCAGTATAATTATACCGAGACTGTGCCTATAGACAGGGCAAAACAGCATCTTTTCTGCTTCTTCAATTAATTTCATAATTAGGTCATATTCGGTGACCTTGGTACGTGAAAGGTTCCAGCTTCTTAGATAGTTCTTTACTTCGACAACGCATTTATTTTGGAAAAAAATTCGTCTTTACCGTGTGAGGAACCACGCGTAATATTTTCTATCCCGGCAAAGGAACGCTTCGCAGGTGCACCTGCCATTTTGGTTGTTTGCTAGTAGCGTAAACTGCGATTTAGGTGGTCAATGGGTTGCAAATAGCTATGGGACCGCTTTGAACAATGACTGAAAGTTCCTCAGTAACTGAGAACGGTCTAACTCTGTTATTGATAACTTTATGGAGAGAGAGCGGCGGGAGGGGAATTCAGTGCTTGCGGGAAAAAAGAATATACAGTAGTCCTTTCTAAATTTGTAATCTAAGCGGGACAGAGCGCCAGCCGTGACATGCTAAGTATCGCAACTTTCAACCCTCGGTTTCGGACGAAACTGTCGAAACTGAATGACCGCTAAATGTTTTAGAACGATTCAGTAGCTGATGAATGGACCTATAGAAAGTTTTTGCTGTTTTGACAACTTATTTTCTATTATTATTCATGTAACAGCTGGTGACACGTTTGAATAGCGGCAAAAAGCTCGATAGGGGTTCCTTAATGCCTTGATAAGCCAAGGTTTCGAAGGCATTCTATTCAATATCCTGTGAAGTTAAAGATGAAATATATATTGTAATGCGAATTGAGCTTCGGCTAACTGTAAAAGTATGAAACTATACAATATGCTTCAAAAGGTGACATTTGAAAGGGTTGCGAATTCAGCATTCCGGATTCCAGATTCCTGACCTTCGAAAAAAACCCTCCAAAAACGTGTAGTTCACGTTCCACCGTCTTCTACCCCTTCCTCGTTGTGTTAAGTACATTGCCACATGGAAAACAGTGATTGAAAGTATGTAGTCTTTAGGAATGGACAATCTTCGAGTGGCATATACCCGATTTCTCGCTTTCTATTCTGACAATCCTTCTGGACTTTGCGATGGAGAAATGCCGGCGAAATGGCCAAGTAAGGCAACTTTCGCCACTCACCCCTCGACCGAAACTGAATGGCCGCCAAAACTTTTAACACAATTCAGTAGCTGAAGGATAGAAATACAAAATGATATGTAGGAGAGTCTGTAAGTGTGGGCCACTTTTGAGATTTAATCCACTGAATTTGGCTAAAATCGCATGTTTCGCTAAATGGATCAACGGGGCTAAGTGTGTTTCCTCGGATTTTCTATACAAAAAGGTGTCGATGATTCCGACCCGTATTAATTTTAAGATAAAGGTTTAATTGAAATAATTAGTAAACTGGAAGCTTTGGGACACAGTCCTTTATCCGTAGCAATCGCTTGAATTTTGACAAGATTTGCATATTTCATAAGCATCTCAGGCCCTCATGTAGTGCCGAAAGAAAATTCGTTAAAAAAATTTTACAGAAGCGAATTTCTCCAATCTAGTTTCATATTTGTTATATACTTATTAAAAGACGTCTACAGAAAAGTTATGAGCGAAATCTATTTTGTAGGCAAAACTCGATATGAGGATCTTACATAGACTGGCTCTTAATATTGAAAAATAAATAAATAAAAATGACAAACAACACAAAATAAAAATATAGAATAGAATAGATGGTATAGTAACTGGGAAACCGCTGAAAAATCGCAGGAGGCGGAGCAGTTAAAAAAAAGAAACAGTGTTTCACATTGTTTGAAGTGTAGTCGCCACTTGCGGTCAAACGAAAAAAAAAAAAAAAAAAAAAAACAATAAAAAATAATAATAATATAAAATAATAATTTAAGAAAAAACAAGGACTGACCTTTAAACACTAAGGGTTAGAAAATGACGAGATATGAACTTGTCAGAGTAATTTTGCTGATTTGATGCCCATATGAAAGCAAAAAACTCGTCTATTTAAAATAATTGAAACATAATTACCTCCAACATTTGTTACTTCCCGTTGATAGAAAGTCATATTCCCAAAACCCTTCATTAAGATTTAATGACAATACGAGAGACAACAGCAGAGCTTGGACTCCTCTACTTAACTTTCATTTTTAATTTTTTAGTTTAGGCTCAGATAAATGTGACTATTTCACCACTTTAATGATTGCTAACGCAAATTAAAATTCACGGGTTTTAGCGGCAATTATTTGCTTCCCCGCAACCTGTTCATTACTAAGAATTACATAACAAATGTGGGTTATGGTTTACCCTGCAGTGCAGACGTGTTCTTCGGGCGCGCGAATGTTTTGCACACGAGAGCGCAAAAGAGGGGAGAAAATGGGGCGAGTCAAAAGGAGCGGGGTAGGGGGCGGGAAGAGAGAAGAGAAAACGCCTGCCCGAAAACATTCTGAAAATGAGAAACACCAACTAATTAGTCGCGCTTGACTGCTGTTCCGGAAATGAGTAGCAGACCAATCAACACCGAAGAACTATTGCACCGGAAGCTCCCCTACCCCCTTTCCTTCTTTCGCCCTTGCACCTACCCTTAGGGTTACTATTTTTACTCTCCCTAATCTTCCTCGGTCATAACGAAGATGGAGGTTACAACAGTACGAACATAAACAAGCAGCTTTCGCCCGCCCAAAATACGCCTGCACTGCAGCCTATTCATGGTTCAGCTTCTGAAATCACAGTGTCTTGCTTCATGCTAGGATATTAATCAATTATGAAAATCATACCGAATTAACATGAACAGAAACTAATATTTTAAAACAGGAACCTGAACTATAAATATCAAAAGAAATAATTGTCAGTTTTGTCTTCTAAGCTTGAGAACAATAAAATAGAGTAAATTGTTTTCGATCATTTTGATTTTTTAAAATGTCAAAAATAACTTGATACAATTTCCCACGCTGTCCACTCAATACAATGAGTGAAGATATACTTCAGACTGAACGTTCTTGTTATTTTACAACGCGGCCTTGAATGCAATTGTCCATCAAAACGTGATTTTTTTTTCGACACAGTATTTTGAACGTTAAATGAAAAGTGGCGGATTTCTTCAAAGAGACTAGAAGTACACTACATCAGAAGTACACAATTTTCGAAGTCTTGAATTTGGCATAGGGCGCGTGCTGTCTTTCGCGAGTAAGCTTCTTTAAGACATCTTTTTCCGCGCCCGCTATAAAGATATTATTTATTATTTTGTAGTAAGCTGTTTTTTTATTAAAATCCTTTTATTTCCGTAGGTTACAGAAACGATAAGTTTTTTTCCCATACAATTCCCTATATCTCGAATGTTACGCAACAATGCCGATGTTCGCCGAGGCTCATATTTCGAGCTTGGGCTACCTGTGTTGCCTCGGTTCGTTTGCATGGTGTTGGCGGACAAACTGTGCAGACGCTACAAGCGAATCACCTTCACGTGGTCAGGGGCTCGCTCCAGATATTGTTATCTTGGAAATACGTACTAACGATCTTTCGAAACTTCCACCAGAGAAGGTCGGCTCTACGATCGAAGATCTGGTGCGTCGGTTTCAGAGCGATTTTTCAGTTCGCGCGATCGGCGTCTGTTATGTCATCCCACGTGGCACTTTCTTCCCGCATGCCATGTCGTTTTGGCGTAACTCAACGGTTCTGAACCAATATGTTAGTGTCGTTCCGGCTGATTTACTCAATGTTTTTTGTTGGAGTCATCCTGAGTTCAATAATATCCATAAAGATTTCTATTTAGCGGACGCGGTTCACTTGAATCCATCCCGACAGTGTTTACTTTACCGCAGTTATCGAGGTGCCGTCCTCAAAGCTGTCGGTCTTCTTCAGAAGAATTGACCAATCACTTTTACAAGGGTTTTTAGTCATGTGTGATAATATTCTTCGAAATGATTTTTGTCTCTTATACTTGGCCTTTTTATTGGCCTTTCATGTATTTCAGGAGGAATTCAACCCTTATATATTTGCAAAGTTGTTGTTATTGGCATATTAATGTATTAGGTCCTCCTATGTTTTATCTTTTATTGTGATCCATTCATTTTAATTTCTTGTTTTTACTGTTACTTTCGGCCAGTCACATGTAGTTATGCTTGCTTCTGGCTTGAAATTGACTGAGTCTTCGGCTACACTTTCTATTTCCAAGCTTCAATGCTCTCAGTTTAGAGCCATGTGTACAACAGCCTTTTTTGGCTTCCTTAGAATTGGTGAAATGACCTACAACTCAGCGAAGGACGCTAGCAATCTTATACTACAGGTTCATCATGTTTCTAATCTGGTTGATTCTTCCGAATATTTTGTGGCTCTTAAGATTACTTTTGGCAATTTCAAACACAGCTACAACCACCTTCAATTTAAAATCGTTTTGCATCGCCAGAATTGTTGTTGTCCGGTGCAATTTTTACTAGAGTATTTAGCAAGACGAGGAAACAGACCGGGCCCTCTTTTCCTTAATCCAGATAACAATCCCGTTTCTAGAAAAATTTTTGCGGACCTTCTCTCTCTTTCATTAAAGTCTTGTGGGCTGGACTCCACGCGTTATAAAGGTCATAGCTTCCGCATCGGTGCTGCCTCATTGGCTGCAGAGTGAGGAATGTCTGATGCTCAAATAAGGGCTTTGGGTCGCCGGAAGTCGAATGCCTTTCTTAAAGGCCTTCGAAACTAAAATTTGGTTTTGCAATTTGATAAGATTCAGAGCAAATACTGAGAATCACCTCAAAAAAGGCTGCCTTTTCCGTTTAAAATAGAGACCTGTCTCGGAGAAAAGTCCTTTTTACATTGCAGGGTTTTTGAAGTTCCCTTGAAAATGAGTGTAAAATTGGCTGGAGGTGAAACCTGGAGCTTTCACGGAATTTCATGTTTGCCACTTAATTTCAAAGACGATTTTTGCAGTTTACTCTTAATCTTTAACTGGTGTTAAAACTCACAGGAAACGTCTCCCTGTTTGCAAGGAATCATAAAATTCTTTCAAGCAATCTCCTGATGACCCCCCAAACAACACGGGAGATGATTCAGAATTTCTGATCCCCAAACAACACAGGAGAGGATTAAAAATTTCTTATCCCCCAATTAACACAGGAGAGGATTCAGAATTTCTGACCCCCAAACAACATAGGAGATTCAGAATTTCTGATCCCCCAATTGCAAGTAACACAGGAGAGGATTCAGAATTTCTGACCCCCAAACAACACAGATAGAAGAGGATTCAGAATTCCTGCCCCCTAAACAACACAGGAGATTCAGAATTTCTGATCCCCCAATTAACACAGGAGAGGATTCAGAATTTCTGATTCTCAAACAACACAGGAGATTCAGAATTTCCGATCCCCCAAACAACACACGAGAGCTAGGATTCAGAATTTCTGATTCCCCAAACAACAAGGGAGAGGATACAGAATTTCTGCTCCCCTAAACAAAAATACAATACAGGAAGGTTTTCAATATTTCGGAACACCTAAGAATATAGTCGTGGAATCAGAATTTCTGATAACCCAAACAACCTGAGGAGTCAACACATGATTCTGGAGCAGTGCAAGGACGGATTGTTCCACGATATAAACTTTACTCAATCGCTAGTGTTACATCCATTACATGCAACGCCACATTAAATTTTATCATTGAAGGTTTTAGTTCTTGCTGCCCACCTGAGCAATGTCTGATCAAAATTGTTTTTCTTGATAACACTATTTAATTTGAAATCATTTACAATATCACAATTTTTTTTAACAGATTCCATACACTCAGATTATCTTGAAAGAGTGATGAAGAACAAGCTTCTTCACTGCAGTCTATTATATGTAACTGTAAACAATACACAGTCATATGTACTGCACTGATGTATGTGCTACAGGTCAAATTTGATTTTAGGTTAATCTTGATTTAATCTAGGTCGATTCTCAATTTCCTTTGTTTCCTAACCCTAATTCATGAATAAGTAGGGCTAGAAGATAGAGGAAATTGCGAATCAACCTGGGTTAAAAAATTTAACCTAAAATCAAATATGCACATACATTGTATACACATAATATGCACCAGCTGACCTCAACAATACAGTGCCCATTACAGTATTTATAAATTTAATGAACACTGTACTGAAGAGAACAAGAAAGTTCAGAATTGCCCCAAACTGTAAGATTACTGAAACTGTGCAGCTGACCTTAGCATCACTGCAGACTCCATTTTCTCTGTCAGAATTAGCATAGATACATACACTTTATGTACACAATATGGAACTGATCTGTATGAGCAATAGTTACATGTATAAAACCTAGACAGGGCTGTCATAACAGCCAGGGCACAGAGATTTCTCCGCAGCTGTTATGAACGTGGCTCCCAGCTAGCTGCACAGGAAAATAAAAGAAAAATAGAACCAAAAGAAATCCCTAGCTGTTTGATTCCTCGCCTACTTATTGTATTTACCCGGCAACTTGAAATCTTAGTGACATCCCTGCCCACATGTTAAGTACTTTACACATAAATATAGTGTAAAGTAACCTATATCTAGTCTTGGAAAAAATATAAAACATACCCTGTTGGTTGAATCTCTAGATAATGTTTGTTTATAATCCAAAAACGACAAGATTAGCTGAAATATTTTTCTCAAGGGAACAAATAAAATCGCCATATTTTCTGAAGGGTACAGAACAAAAAGAATACTATTTCTGAGGTTATCTAATAATAAATGTCAATTTCTGAAGGGGGTAACCCCAGAAATAATTTTCTGAAGGGGTCAAGCGTGGATATTAAATGGAATGGCCCTGTAAGTTTATTATATTATGAATCGATAAGCTCAAATAAACAAACCTACAGGCTGTATTCAAATGTTATAGGTTAGTTCAACTCTAAGTCAATATATATTAAGTGACAACTTTATCGGAAACTTGTGCTCTTCTCTTATTTGCTTATTTACATTGGTCTCCCACAACCTTGAAGCCCCAGAACATTCAATTTCCAGAGTATTACATTGACGATTTGCAACAAAGAGTTCAGTTATTTCTGCAGTAAACAAAAAGGAATCAATCAATGGCTTATCAGTGCATGCATCTTAAATTTTACGATTTATCTATAAGGTTTTACAGTGTAAGCTTACGTAAGTTATTATATTATATTAGAAAACCAAACGAACCACAATATCAAGAACATACCTTTCTGCAAGAATCCAGCTGAGTTACTGACTTAGAAACATGCTTCATGTGAACACAAACTTCGCAATTGATGACATTGTCTCGAAATAACATAGATAATAGAAAGTCAGTCTTTCTATTATCCGAAAGTAACGTAAATACTCTGTTTGCAACCCAGCTGTGTCGCTTGTGAAGTCCGCGTGAATTTGAACTATTCAATGGAAGGTCATTTTACACTTTTCTATTGGTTCAAAAGTCGCACGTGATAAAATAAATCAAATTGCGCATATGCAAAAGGCACGTGGAAGCCTTTCAATCAACAAACGCGGAGGTTATAGCGGAGCTCTGGCTCGCGAAGCGCGCCTGCGGAGCACCATGGGTAAGTAAATCTACCGATCCCAGAAAATTTGGTAATCACGTGACCGTACACCGCCCGCCCGCCCGCCCGCCCGCCCGCCCGCCCGCTGCCCGTCCGTCCGCACCACAGGAGAACCAATGTAAGTATGGAGAACCATACTTTGTAGCTAGTTTCGGAGCACAGAAAGACTGATATTGCACACATATTGCACATCAATGTTGTGATCAATTGACAGCTGTCAAAACAGGGTCCCGCTGACCAGTATCTCTTGACCGTATCGCGGGCTCAGGTGTCGATCTATCGAGGTCGAGTATTTTTTGAAGTTATCCGCTGACAAGTAACTAGTTTTCAAATGATTGCAGGCTCAAGTTTATTTTTTCAATTCATATGAAATATGTTGTGTTTTATATGTGCCGCACAATCAGCCAGTTTTTACAGGCAGGGAAGACCTGCCAGTTGCTTTTGACTTTTCTCACCAAGGTCACGCGTTGGTCACGCTCTACGTCCAATTTTTATGCTCTGATTGATCAAAATTTGACAGGTGAGTTCATGCGGAAAATTTATGTAGCATCTTGAAACTTGTTTACTTTGACAGCTGAAGCTGACAGAGTTTTGTGTCAGCTTAATTTGTGATGTTTTTAACTCTCTTTTTCCACTGAACATTGTACAAAATGAAATTCAGCTGCTATCAAGAGTCTCCTGTTATTCATGGCTAGTTTGTTTATCGGGTTTTTGGTTGAGAAATACGTCGCCTGTCAAAGTCGGAAATCCGATTTCGGATGGCGTCGTTTTCGTTTTTCACCTTGCTTGATGTGTAAGAGGGTTGAAAAGTCTGAAGCGATTTTGGCCTTACTTGATAGTTTTCAGTGCATCTCGAATGGTAAGCCTGAGTAATTATTTTATTTGATGTTTGTTTTTTATATCTATTTCAATGAAGTCGAGAGTAGTTTATGGGGCTATTTGGTTTATGCACGTTTTTAAGATTTAAGACAATGATCTGACCGAGTATCAGGTTTGATTATAAGCTTATAGAACTTTAAAAAGCCTTCAGACATTTTCTCACCGCAAATAGAAAGAAAACGTTCCAAAGAATATTTAGTTATAATTCTGGCTGTAAAAGAAAGCTTTGAGCGATTTTCTTGCCTCGAGTTCATCTTTGAAAAACGCACAGAGACAAACTTTAATACTTGTCTTCGTGAATGAAAATTGTTGTCTCTGTATATGTTTCACCGAATTATTTTCCTTTTATTGATTGTTAGTAGTCTCTTTTGCAATTTTCATCGCTGTTGTGCCGTTTGTTTTCAGTCGTTGATGAACATAGCTTGCAGGAGTAGTCAAAATGCCGCGCGTATCAAACGTTTTTGAAGATTACACATCATTATAAAGCCATTATGTTGAAGCGTATAACTGTGTTAATCTTAATTTAAACAGTCGACTTTAGATAGATAGATAGATAGATAGATAGATACTTTATTATAAACACCATTGCAGCCATAGGCTGAATTACGGGATATTTACAAATACTGATGATAACAAAGAGAAAATAATAAAATTATCTACATCTTACAGACATGGCTAAAAATAAAACTTTTCTTCAAACGCTCGGTTTTACATAGGGGGAGAGTGAAATCACTTTTGCGTCTCAGTGCATATTTACAACTCTTCCTTTGGGGGAGGAGGCTATGGAGACTGTGGGTGGGGTTACAGACGATCTCGTCAAACAGATCGATTGAAATCTTTTCTCTCCTCTCACGAAGTTTCGGTAGGCCAACTGTTTCTAGTGCTACACTATATGACAGGTCAGGATAGATGATTCTGAAAGCCCTTTTTCGGATCCGTTCCAAATCTTCACTGATGTAATACAGGACTTGCGTATTCCAGAACGGGCCTAATACATGTCACATAGAATTGCACCAGATCACTTGGTGCCACTCCGGATCTCTTGAGTTGACGTAAAAAATAGAGACGAGAGGAACATTTTCTAATTAGTTCAGAGCAGTGCATGTTCCACTTTACATCGTGGCTAATGGTCACGCCCAGCAATTTGGCACTGGTGACTTCAAGGGGTTTGCCCTTTAGGACTAGGGGCTCAAAATCGTGGTTGCTGTTGGGGAATCCAATTCGAAGTTCTTTGCACTTGGCCTCATTCAGTTGGAACCCATCGAGACTCGCTTGTCTCGAAAGGTCATCCAGAGCTTCTTGGAGTTTGCTCTCACTACCCTTTGTAACTATTTCGGAACAAGATGTATCATCCACGTATTTCCACATGTCAACTGGTGTGTCCAAGTCATTAATCATGACAAGAAATAACCAGGGGCCTAGTTTTGTTCCCTGGAGGACCCCGGAAGGCACAGAGCGCCATTCAGGGTGACAATCCTGAGCAAGTTTAACTCTTTGTTTCCGGTCCATCAAGAAGTCAACAATCCAACCTTTGACTTGACTCGGAATATCATATGTTGTTAGTTTTTGAACAACAACACTGCGATCGATAAGGTCAAAGGCCTTACGGAAATCGAGTAGGACTACTCTTGCCGTGGCACCATTTCCGTCGGTGTTAACAAGCCAATTATGCGTCATATTGACCAAGGAATGTGTAGTAGACTTTGGCGCTTGTCAAAAGTGAGAACCGGCTCGCCGTATAGGTGATTTTGGAAATTTTTTTTAACGGTTTCTCTAACGCGTGCCTCGATCGCCCTGAATATTGAATGAGTGCAATTTGTATTGCAAAATTGTGAAATACCGTCATTCTGTTCGAGGTCTGTATGATTAAAACAGCGCCTCATGGTACTATTTCACCTCAGATGTGATGTATAAAAAGTATAAAAGGTTGGTTTACACGTCCCCAGACTTGTTGGCAAGATTTTGTAAAGTAAACTTATCGAACGCAAAAAATTCGGCCTGATTTGTTTTCCTAATGTACTGTGATCAAGAACCATTATGGCTATGCTATTTTTTAGGTGTACATATAAGGCTATCGAGTCAAATTCTGAATACTTTTATAACCATGAACAGATAGCCGTTTTTGTCCCTTGCCATGATGGGAATCAGAAATTCTGAATGGTTGTGGAATTAAAGATAGATTACTGTTGTGTTCTGCGTTACGAAAAATTGTATTGCGTGACTTTTAAACGTGACTTTCTGGAAGCTTCGCGAGAGTTCATAGCTTGTTTATTTTAGGATCCTGTGTAAGCGTTTCTAAAGCGGTATATTATGTCATCTTTCTATAATTAGACTATTTGGAAAGTTCTACAGTGTTATTGTAAAAGCATATAAGTAGGCGAGTCCTAGTTAAGTTTCAACTAGTTTTCACAAGCGAAGAGAGATTGACGTTAGTCGTCTTTAGTCAAGTGTGACGAAAACAGTGTTTACTCAAGTTGGCGGAGGCCGTGTACGTTCATCAAGTTAATTGAAGTTGGCGGAGGCCGTGTAAGTTTAACGAGTTACGTGCTGTTGTGGAGTTTTACTTCGTGGAAACTACGTTCATTTTTCGAATAAATCTTCTTGTTGCTGTTCCGACAACCCTGCGTTCAGTCTGGCTTGCAAGCTACCCGTCCTCTTAAAGATTACCTGCGTAACATTCGGGGCCTGTCCGGGAGAAGAATTCAGTTGTTTGCCGACTACAGTAACCAGGAAAGGACAGTTCAAGAAAAACGAGTAAACAGAGAAGTAAGAACACTGCTACGAGGAAGTATACCGAGTGTGTTTGCTGTGAACTACTACTGTGGAAATGGAAAAGCTTTTGCAGATAGGGAACGAATTCGGATTGGAGGGAGAAAAGCTGTTCGAGTTTGTAGAAGAAGAAAGAAGGAGGGAGGAAAAAGAGAAAGAAGAAAAACGTAGACAGATGGAAGAAGAAAGAGAAGAAAAACGTAGACAGTTGGAAGAGGAAAAAGAAGAAAAGCGTAGGCAATTAGAAGAAGAAAAGGAAGAGAGACATCGAATACTTGAGGAAGAAGACAGAAGGAAGAAGAAGAGAAAGAGGAAAGGCGTAGAAGAGAAGACGAAGAAAGAGAAACTAGGCGGCAAGAACGCGATCTGAGAAAACTAGAGCTGGACGCGGAACTGTTAAAGCAGAGAGAGGCAATAGCCTCTCTCTGCCGCTAAGAGAGAGCATGAACTAGAGCTCGCTCGTCTAGGACAAGGCCGTAACGAGACCGAACGTGCTGAAACGAGAGAGGATAGGGCCAAGGCCACCAAGCTTCCCTCGTTTGTTGACGGAAAGGATGACTTGGATGCTTACCTACAACGATTTGAGAAGTCCGCAGCTACAGCTAAATGGGAGAAGACAGGATGGGCTTCGAAACTTAGTGCTCTTTTGTCTGGACGTGCCCTAGAGGTTTATTCAGGATTATCTGGGGAAGCAGCCCAAGATTATGACCGAGCGAATTTAGCTTTGATGAAGAGATACGACCTTACAGAGGATGGCTATTGTCGTAAATTTAGATCATCAAAGCCGGAAGTTGACGAGAGTCCTGAACAGTTTATAGTGAGACTAGATAGATACCTGTTGCGTTGGTTAGAGCTGTCGAACACTGAGCGTTCTTTTGAAGGCCTGAAAGGTTTAATTGTGAAAGAACAGTTTATTGACTCTTGTCCAAAAGAGGTAGCCATTCACCTTCGCGAGAGAGCCCCGGAAACGCTTGTTCAGATAGCAAAGATTGACGATCAGTACTTAGAGGCACACGGAAAACATTTGTTCAGTCCCGCTAGTAGGAAGCCTGTGGTACTACCTCAGAAGGGTGAAACAAAGAATCAGCAGAATGACTCAACGACAATAGTGTGTTTCAATTGTAACGCTCTTGGCCACAAGGCTGTTAACTGCCCATCTCTGGTTAAGAAATGTTTCGTGTGTGGCAAGCAAGGGCAAGAAGCTAGAAACTGCCTCTCAGGTAAACAGAAGTCAGGAGGACAAAATAGAGATGGTCTCCCTGAGCAGCGTGGGCAAGTGAGTGCCGGTTGTTTAGTTCAGCCACCCGAGGTTAGACCCACAGAAGAAGAAGTAAGAGCCTGTATTAAGGATGATAATCTGTTGTTAGCAAGTGGTAAGAAGATCCCAATAGTAAGCAATGCCTGCCTTGAACCTTTGTTTGGCGATCGGTTGAAAATACCTGTTGTAAAAGGAAGAGCGGGAGTGAAGACTGTGGATGTCTTGAGAGACACCGGCTGTAGTGGAATAGTAATTAAGAAGAATCTTGTGTCTGAGGACCAGTTTACCGGTGATTTTAACGTTATGCTGCTCATTGACAACACAGCGGGGAAGGTACCTATTGCAAGAATTTCTTTTGATACACCTTTTCTCAAGGGGCAAATGGAAGCACAGTGCCTCCCAGATGCCATTTACGACCTAATAACAGGTAACGTTCCTGGAGCTAGACCTGCAGATGAACCAGACCCAACTTGGCAAGAGGCATGCGCTGTAATCACGAGAAGTCAAGCTAAGAAAGACGGTGAAGTTACCCCTCTAAAAGTACCAAGTTACCAAGAGAACTCCATTGTAGATAAACAGAAACGTAAACAGATGCAGAGTGAAGATGAGATTTTGCGGAAGTACTGGGACCGAGGTGATGTACTAGTGAAGGGTCAAGCTGAGATTTCTTTTGGGGTAAAGAGTGGGATATTGTACCGCATCTACAAACACCCTTTTGTGAATGGTGGTAAGCCTGTGAAGCAAGTGATGGTTCCTGTGCAGTTAAGACCACGAATAATGGGAGTGGCTCATGGATCTATAATTGGAGGTCATTTAGGTATTAAGAAGACGAATGACAAGATTGACAGTGCATTTTCTTGGCCAGGTATTCAACGTGATGTAACTCGTTTCTGCAAATCATGTGATGTCTGTCAGAAGACCGTAAACAAGGGATCGGTTCCGAAGGTGGCACGACAGAAGATGCCTCTCATTGATAAACCATTTAAAAGAGTAGCCACTGACCTTGTCGGACCTATCAGTCCACCAAGCGTAGAAGGGCACAGGTACATCCTGACACTTGCTGATTTTGCGACTCGCTACCCTGAAACCGTCCCTTTGAAGACTACTAACACTGAAACCGTTGCAGAGGCGTTAGTAAATATCTTCAGTCGATTGGGAGTTCCTGAAGAGATGTTAAGTGACCTTGGCACACAGTTCGTCCCTGATTGCATGAAGGAAGTAACACGATTGCTGAGTATCAAGCTGATTACAACCACGCCTTACCATCCTACGTGTAATGGTTTAACTGAGAAGTTCAACGGAACAATGAAACTTATGTTAAAGAGATTGTGTAGTGAACAACCAATACAGTGGTATCGCTTTATTAACCCTTTGTTGTTTGCGTATCGTGAGGTTCCCCAAGAGTCTACCGGTTTTTCACCGTTTGAGCTGCTGTATGGAAGATTCCTTAGAGGTCCGATGACCATCCTTAAGGAGCTTTGGACGAAAGAAGTAGAGGAACCGGAAGTCAAGAACAGCTACCAGTACGTTTTTGAGCTGCGAGAGAAGTTGGAAGAACCCTTAAATTAGCCCACAGTCAGTTACAGAAGGCGCAAGATAAAGGAAAGCACTATTGTGATAGCAAGACTTAAGTCAGAAAATTTCAGCCAGGAGAGAAAGTTCTTGTGCTACAACCAACTGATCACAATAAGTTGGTGATGCGGTGGAAGGGTCCTTCTGAACTGAGTTCAGTAGTAGGCCTTAACGACTACAGAGTTATAGTGAAAGGAAAGGAGAAAGCTTATCACGCGAATCTCCTCAAGAAGTATTTTGAAAAGAGATGAACCTACCACAGGAGGAGCAGTAGTGGTGGTAAAAGCAGAGGATCATTTTAAGGAAGATATGCTTTGTGAAATTGAAGAATGCGAAGTAAAGGATGCGGAGGATGATGGTAACGTTGATTTCCTAGAGATCGGTGGCTATGATGCTAAGGAATCTGTTGCAGATGTTACCACCGGGTCAGTTCTTACTGACGAACAGCGTTCTTAATTTATGAACCTAGCCAATCAGTTTTCAAGTCTATTTACCGAGGCACCAGGTCCTACAGACCTCGCCCAGCATCACATCAAACTTATCTCAGATGAGCCTGTTCGGTCAAGACCATACCCAGTACGTTACAGCATGAGAGAGTCGTTGAAGAAAGATATCGCCGATATGATTAAAATGGGAGTTATTAGGGAGTCTGATTCACTCTATGCGTCGCCTGTTGTTGTAGTGAAGAAGAAAGACAATACCAATCGAGTCTGCGTTGAATATCGGAAGCTAAATAAGCTGACTGTTATTGACCCTGAACCTATGCCGACCGCGGAACACCTGTTCCAGAAGCTGAGTGGTGATAAGTTTTTCTCAAAGATTGATCTTAGCAAGGGCTATTGGCAAATCACCATACCTGAGGAGGATATTCCGAAGACTGCGTTTGTAACACCCGATGGTTCCTACGAGTTCGTAAAGATGCCCTTTGGAATGATTAAATCTGCAGCAACCCTGAAGCGAGCTATGAAGAAATTAATTGAAGATCTAGACAATGTCGATTTTTACTGGGACGATATATTGGTTCAAACACGCACCTGGGAAGAGCATATTAAAGCCCTTCGAGAGTTGTTTGCACGTTTTTTGAGAGCTGGGATGGCTATTAGACCAACTAAGTGTACTTTTGGAGCGAGTAGCGTTGATTTCTTGGGCCACCACCTACAACAAGGAGTGCCTGGTCTACACGAGGAGAATGTCGAGAAGATTAAGAATGCGCCAAGGCATGGTTTGGCCGGATATTACAGAGACTTTATCCCTAACTTTGCGGCTATTGTAGCTCCCCTATCGGACCTGAAACGCAAGGGTCAGCCAACTAGGGTCGAGTGGGGTCAAGAACAAGAGAAGGCATATCAGACAACCAAGTTTCATTTGACGAATAAGCCAATTCTTCCTCTTGCGGACCCAGGGGAAACGTGCTACTTGCAAACGGATGCATTAAATGCTGGAATTGGTGCCGTATTAATGCAGAAGCATGATAAGAAGCTGTTCTCCGTTTGCTACGCAAGCAAGAAATTGTCAAGTGCTGAAAGGAACTATTCTACAATTGAGAAAGAGTGCCTAGCAGTAGTCTGGGGTATCAAGAGATTTCATCTTTATTTGTACGGAGTTCCCTTTGTTCTACAGACGGATCATGAACCCCTAAAGTATATGAACAGTGCTAAGTTTGCGAACGGACGTCTTATGCGTTGGGCTATGTTTTTGCAAAGTTGTACATTCAGAGTTGAAGCCATTAAAGGCTCAGAGAACGTTGGAGCAGATTGCTTGAGTCGAGCTGATCAATAAGTTTATTGACATTGAACTGCTTCTTACTTAGCAATTTTTCTTGTTTAAGAGAAATTTAGGAAATTTCTTCTTAAAGGGGGTTTTGTTACGGAAAATTGTATTGCGTGACTTTTAAACGTGACTCTCTAGAAGCTTCCTGAGAGTTCATAGTTTGTTTATTTTAGGATCCTGTGTAAGCGTTTCTAAAGCGGTATATTATGTCATCTTTCTATAATTAGACTATTTGGAAAGTTCTACAATGTTACTGTGAGAGCATATAAGTAGGTGAGTCCCCGTTAAGTTTTAACTAGTTTTCACAAGCGAAGAGAGATTGACTTTAGTCGTGTTTAGTCAAGTGGACGAAGGCAGTGTTTATTCAAGTTGGCTGAGGCCGTGTAAGTTTATCAAGTTAATTGAAGTTGGCGGAGACCGTGTAAGTGTAACGAGTTACGTGCTGTTGTGGAGTTTTATTTCGTGGAAACTACGTTCATTTTTCGAATAAATCTTCTTGTTGCTGTTCCGACAACCCTGCGTTCAGTCTTGTTTGCAAGCTACCCGTCCTCTAAAATATTACCGCGTAACATTCTGTTAAGCTATGTACCGGGGGATAAGAAATTCTGAATCTCTCCAAGAAAGAAAGCGCAACGGGTGCACGATCTCTTTCACACGAAATTGCACAATTTGATGGAATTGGAAAATTGGATGTGTTGTTTCTTGTGGACACAACTGAACACTTTTTTTCTCCTTCTAATCAGCGAAAACCTTTCAGAAACGCAAACTTTTTCAGCATCAAATACCAATACTCTTCTGAATTTTCCCAAATTGGAAAGCCACATTTTAGTTTGGAAGGCGTTCTTAAGTATATTACAATACCGTCACTTTCAACATAACTTTTCTTTTGCAAGTAATTCTTGCATAGCTTGCAGGAGAGGATGTGTATGGGCTACTTGAAAGTGATGGGACTGAATAGCAAGGACAGCAGTCCCATCATTTTCCAATACTTATGTACAAAGGAGTATGGGGTTCTGATTAGCAAGGGAAACATTTCCCCATAGTCCTATCTCCAGGCTAAGGGCCTGATGTTTCTTTTCTCTTCATGGTTTCTTATTAAGAACTGACTTGCAAGGGCAGCAGTTCCCATTGTTCATGAGGTTATTTTAATGCAAGATTTCTCAGTATTTTAGGCAAAAAATGTGACCACTTTCTTGCCAATTAAGAAATGGTAAACGTGTAGCGTGCAACCATGGAGTTATGGATGCACGCGGGAGGTTGCTAAGCACGAAAGAAGCGTAAGAGTCGCACGAGACGATAGCGGAGTGCGACTCTAGCTTCTTGAGTGCTTAGGAAACCTCCCAAGTGCATCCATAACTCCATAGTTGCACAGCCTCAACGTTTACCATTTCTTTTATATCATAATCAAAAGAGAAAAACATTATTTTCCATTTGCCTTCGGTTGATTCATCGGTCCTAGTTCATGTATGCTGCCATCTGCCGCGCGTAAACAAATCATCTTCTGCCTTTGAGTTTTTCTTTCACTGAATCAACCGTTTTTTTTTTTCGTTGTTATTCTGAAAGGCATCTGTCTACTTGCTCTCAATATAATAGGGTAAAAACTTTGAGGGAAAACTATAGCTGCAACTATAAACACCAACTAAAAAGACTCTAAAAACAAGCTAAAACTAAAGAAATGAAATAATTATCAAGCTTATTTATATGAAAAATTTTTGAAATAAACGTAAAGTAGAAATGAGAAAATTTGACTGTAATTCCTTTAGAATAACAGGTAACACTAATTTAAAAAAAATAATAATAATTAGCTTTGTATCGAAATCGGTCTGGAGAAATCCAGCTATGACAGTCAAAGTTGCAACTGAAATTCGTCGACACACAGCCGGCGCTGAAGCTGTTGTTTTTCGACCGTTCTCTGAACGACTGTTATGAATGAATGAACACTGAGGAACAAAATAATACACAGAGGAGTTATTTTTTGAAAAATTTATTTGAAGACCCGAATGTTTCTGCACTCAAATAAAATTCGCTTATTCCAGCGTAACGTGCCCGTCTAAACTCAACTAAAATTTTTAATCGATGGGATGAAAACTTCACAACAAAGCTGTCTCGAATTTGAGCGTGTTTCCTAAAATATTTGCTTGAATTTAGCATCAGCTTGACCAAAAAAGTCAATAACACAATGCTAATTGATAAATCTACATTTCAAACAGACTTTTTCTTCTATAAAAATCACACAAAATGTACCTTAAATCTTCGCTCGCTTGATTTTCCTTCAGCCGATTTTAGCAGCGAGGAAAACAGTGATTAAATCATCCAGGGCAAATTTGTCGCTTGATCTTTTGCTTTTTTTCCTTCAAAACGACAGCTTAGTATTTTCTTCAACTTCCACTTTTCATCTGTGCATTTCATCGGTGTATTTTATCGTCAGGAGAGGAGATTTGTTGAATTTGCCTAAATTTTACCGCGCTAGCCCAGTTTCTTGGCGTGCGCTCAAGGGCAAATGGTAGTGGCTAACTGACCAATCATAGCGCGCGATTTACTTTCGTTATGTTATAATAACTAATTGTCTCGTTTAATTCAAGATTTACTAGACTTATTGGGCATAGCTCTTAACACCTTCTCATCTATAGTTATTTCAACTGATTTGCAAGGGCAGCAGTTCTACTTCCCAGTCGGAATAACTAAACTTTTGTCGAGGAAGTGCATGTGACCTCTTATATCTTTTGGATTGTTGGCGAGTTAAGATGTTTTTGTTTTTGTTCACAAATTTTGTGATTGGGGCTGCATTTCTTTCAGGGGGGGGGGGCGGCAGTATGATGTCCATCATTCTGCTTGGCGTTTTTAGTGCCCTCACCTTTACTGGGCTCATTACATTTTTCTTGGAACCAAATATTTTGTAATTTATTGGATAACTTTATTGATTAAACCGGCTCTGAGCCTTCGCCCTGAGCCATTTCACTCCACTTCGTGATTACTATCTTTTTCTGTGCCCAGCAAACAAGCTCAGGTATTCAGCCCAATATTCAAATGAATTCCTGATCTGGGGAGGGAGAAAGGACATGAAGGGAATTTGCTTGCTCGGATTGGCGAATTTGCACACGAGCAAATGACGCAACGTATAACTTTACTGTAGTCACCGCACGCCGAGGAGAAACAATGGACTGGAGTGGCCGTAGTGAAATTACAACAAACAATTTGTTTGCTTTACAATGCCCTTCTTTATAACCTGAACGTGACTATTCACTTTATTGGGCTGGAAGTCTTCCACCTTGCATCTTACACGCGCGCTTAGTAGTCGCGTAGTTGTATTCGCCATTCTAATCTGAGTGAGCAAATTCCCAAAGCGCGCACAGAGAAAGCTGAAAAAAAAAAATAGCACACTCGCGAGAGACGTATCTCAAGGTCCATTACCATTGGCTAGGTGTAACGGACCATTCCCCCTATGGCACTTGCCCGCAGGGAATTACAATAGTTGTATTCAACTCGCCCAGGCGGTGTTGGACACGGTCCACGTGACCACTTTTGTCCAATCACATCATTGCAGATGGCGGACTGATTCTTTCACCTTTCGGCGGGTAGTGTCTGCGATTTCCTTCGATTTTCGCCGTTTATCAAGTGATTTACGATAACTTTTTTTTGGAAAGGTTTGAGTAGACAGATGTAGCAAGCTGCAGTTCTTAAAACAATATGATGTATGTTTGTTTTCTATTGATATTGTTCCTTGTAACTCTTCATGTGCATAATCCCTTTGTTTAGTTACGAGCCATTGTTTATGCTTTTCAGTCGACATCTTCTCTGTGTTCAACGACCCCTGACCTCCAGTTTTAGCATAATCTATTAGTTTTGTTGTTCAAGAATCTAATTTGTAATATGTAAGTCATCGAAGCGGCCCTTAGGCCCTCCTTTTTGAATAGTTCCCTGGCTTCTTCCTTCTGCCCTTGTCCGCAAAGAGTTAAACCTTCTGTGCGAGATTCTTCATGATTCCTAATAAATCATACAAAAAATAACGAGCAGATAAAACTGAATTTATACGGAAAAAAATGACTAGAAAACCTCCGCTAACTTGCTGTTGTCCTCAACAACAACAAGTTAGCGGAGAAGGATTCCACATTTGCCTTGCCCTCCAGCTTCTTCTGGAAAACCAGAATAGGTTGCACATTATTTTCGATGAGAAGATCAGTATCCTTCATGCACATGTCAATGTACCTGACAAAAAAAAAATGTGAGGTGAGAAGAGCGCTAAAGAGAAGCTTACGTTCAAATCAAGCACTTTATGCACATGTAAGAACGAAGTGTTGATACGTACCCCGTTGCTTCGATCCCCAAATTAATCTCTTCGACACAGAAAATAACAGTTTTGTGAAGCCAGCAGTAAACGTCGATTGCGGCCACCTTTCCGGACAAAGATCTCAAATGAAAATCGCATGTTATGTCCTTTAAAAGCGGAAGAAGACCTGTAATGCCCATATCAAACTATTTCTCCCGGTATTTTTATGGCGTAACAAGAGATGTGAACAACGCGCAGGTCAGATGCAAATGAGCCGTTTTCGATTTTTCCCCATGATGCTCTTCGGACCGTGTCCAACACCGCCTGCAACGCGCTCATGACATCTTGAAGATTTGGCGCGCGACGGTACATACAACACTCCTCGCTGGCTCTTTGGCTCGCAGTTTAACCTGTTAAAAGGCCATTTATTTTTCACAGATTTTTTAGCGGAGCTCCTCGCGCGCGCAGAGCGGAGCACCATGGGTAAGGAAATTTGGTAAACTATCCATCTGAGAAAATTTGGTTATGACATAGCGTTTGGTTATGACATAGCACATGACTATCTCGCGGGCTCAGATGAAAGACCAGTCGTTTTGCCCCTACATATAAGCGGATATAATATGTCACACTTACCAATTCAACATAAAAACAAAACTACGCCGGGCAAGGCTGTCAGTTGGCTGACAGTCGTTTAAAGATATATTGGCAAGCCAAATTAAGGTCAATTAACAGCTGTCAAAATGGGACATGTGCAGACCACTATTAGAAAACTAATAACGTGGGCTCAGGTTCGCTCAGGTACACGATCTGGCATTTTGCACTATATGCCGGACGGAGATGTCTTACTCACACTCGTAGTCTGTTAATTCGAATATTCGCCATTGTAATGAAGGTTAATTGACAGCTGTCAAACTAGAGTATACGCTGACCATCATCATCTGAGTGTATCGCGGGCTCATTAGCCTATCCATTGAGGTCACGTAGTGTTTAAAGTTTTGCGCTGATATTTTATTTGATCACGGGCTCAATTCGAGGTCCCATAGCTTAGAAAATCGATCCATCTTAGAAAATTCGGCAATCACGTGACCGTACACCGACCACCCGACCTTCCGTCCGTCCGCACCACAGGTATACCAATGTTTAATCTCACACTTTCTAGCTAGTTTGGGAGCCTGCAACCTGATATTGTACATCTATGTTTTGATTAATTGACAGCAGTCAAAATAGTGTTACTGCTGACCAGTATCGCCTGACCCTATCGCGGGCTCAGGTATCGACCCACTGAGTTCGAGTGTTTTTTAACGTATCCGCTGACAGGTTGCTACTTTTCAATTATCGTAGGCTCAAGTTCAATTTTTTTTAAAAGCATATGAAACAGGTCGAGTTCATGAGCCGCACTTTTAAAATGTTGATTTCGAACTGACCTCGGACGCGAAAATTCAACCGGCTTTTACATTTACATGCGGGGAAGGCAATCACTTTTGACTTTTCTCACTGTCACGCGTTGATCAAGCTCTACGTTCAATTTTTATGTTCTAATTGGTCAAAATTTGACAGGTGAGTTCATGCGGAAAATTTATGCAGCGTCTGGAAACTTGCTTACTGATAGCTGGAGCTTACAGAGTTTTGTGTCATCTTGTGATGTTTTAAACTGGCTGTTTCTACTTGGTTTACAAAATGAAATACAGCTGCTATCAAGATTGTTCTGTAATTCATGGCTGGTTTGTTTATTGCGCTCTTTGTTGACAAATGCACCGCTTGTCAAAGTCATTGGAAATCCGATTTCGGATGGCATCGTTTTCAAAAATGAGCCTACTCACTTGCCCTTGCTTGAGGCGTAAGAGGGTTGAAAATTCTGGAACACTTGATGACCTTCAGAAGCAGCATCTCGACTGGTAAGCCTGAGAAATTGTTGTCTTTGATGTGTTTTTTTTTTTCGGTTTCCTGAAGTCGAGCGTATGGTTTATGCGGCTTAAGTTTATATACGAGCAATGATCTAACCTACAATAGTATCAGGTTTAAAAAGCCTTTAGACATTTTTTGACCTCAAATTCAAAGAAAATGTTCCGAAGATTATTCACTTATGATTTTGACTGTAAAAAGAAAGCCCTGAGCGATTTTCTTGCCTCGAGTTCATCTTGAAAAAGAGCAAACACCGGGAAGCCGGCTTAAAACATAAATAAGCTTATGCTTACCTGACTCATGATTTTCAAAGACACTTTACTCTTAATACTTCTCTTCGTGAATGAAAATTATTGTCTCTGTACATGTTTCACCGAATTATATTTATTTTATTAATTGTTAGTAGTCCCTCTCGCAATTTTTATCGCTGAACCGGTTGTATCCAGTCGAACATAAACATCTCATGCAGGAATACTCAAAACGCCGCGCGTAAATATCACTCGCTTTTAAAGATTACACATACCAAAACCGTCCGCAGTTTAATAAATAAAGGGAAATAAAACCTAAACATACAATTTATCTATCATGTTGAAGCGTAAATGGTAACTCTATTAATCGCACTGCAAATTTAGTGCCTGTCAAAAGTGAGCCACGTCCGGCTGGCCGAAAAGTGATTTTGGGAATTTTTTTATCGTTTTCATTAAAAGCCCATTTTACCCTGCATATCACATAAGACCAGATTTTTCTAACTGAAAGTCCTGGAATTAGAGAATTCTCTTCATGAAAACGTTTTATAATTCAATGCTATAATTTGTTGTGCAAAGGAAGCGCGTGCTTTGATCGTCGCAGATTTATAGGTTTAAACACAGGTAACCCAGGCTCTGTGATAGTACCACAGTACGGTTCCAGTAAAATTACAGTGTTTGTATGGGGTAAAAATATCATCCTAAAATTTCTAGGAAATACTAAATAAAGATCAATGAAACTTACTCTGCAGTTAATCGTTGTTGTCCTTATTGCTCCAGCGAAGTTTCGTGATAATTTGCAGTAATTTGTTCAAATTCACTCTATCTACAATAATAATATACAAGGTAGGAAACACGAGGTGCCATTTTCGTCGACATGCTCTCATTCAACACAACTTTTTCCACGAAATTCGAACTCCAACGGAAAATAAACATGCCAGAATCGTAGAAATAGGATAGCAGCAGATATAGAAACCAATGAAGCTTTCCCAGATAGAGAAACGAATCCCACAGACTTGGACAAACTCGTAGAATATAATCCAAACACACCGAGAATACGCTCGCCGAAGCAGCCGGGCCAGATCAACGCGCGGCCAAGAAAATGAAGCCTGGGCACTGTACAAAAAATTCCATCCCGGGAGTCCTGGGGTGACCTTTCTAGGGACCGATACATCATTTGCCCAAAGCCACCCTCCCCTGCTGAAAAAATACTTGATAGAAGGCAATTGTTCTTCCTAGCCAATCACCATTTGCCAGAGCAAACCCTGCACACGCGCCTGAATTTAAATGGCTAAAAAAAAAGTAATATAATCAGGAGAGTCTGCGGAGTTACAAGGCGTCCTATTTCTTTTACTAAGGAATGCAAATAACAGTAATGAAACTACTGAAAGAACAACGCGAAATGCTTACAAGGCGGGCTAAAAACAAGGTTGAACAAAAGGTAGATGATGACCGAGATACTGTTGCTGTGAACTCTCGAGTGAAACTATCGTAAATAAACGGTGAAGCTTACAAAGTAATGTCAAAAATTATACAGAAAATTGCGTCAGAATATGAATTGCGATAACTGAGACGAATGTGAAAGGCACGTGCACTAGTAAACAAAGAACTAGCGCGATTAACATATTTAGCGATTAATGCGGCAGTAAATAACACGCCGACTTCTTGTCAATACAACTGAACGTTCTATCAGTTAAATATGTGAATCATCGTGATACACCTCTCTTTGAATTTGGTCCTGTTCTACAAATGCCTCGGTGAGAGCCAAAATTCACTCATATCTTTTGCTCGTTTTAAGTTTTGTAAATCGTCCTTCGTTGTTCTTTCCTTTGCCCTTATAACCTTGCCCTATTGATGTTTGATAAACTTTCTGAGGACCAGCGCCAGGAGCTGAATACAGTTCGAGAGGAAAATAATCTCTTTATAACAGGCCATAGTGATTGGCTAGGAAGGACAATCGCCTTCTATCAAGTATTTTTCCAGCAGGGGAGGGTGGCCTTGGGCAAATGATGTATCGGTCCCTAGAAAGGTCACCCCTGGACCCCCGGGATGGATTTTTTTTGTACAGTGCCCAGGCTTCATTTTCTTGGCCGCGCGTTGATCTGGCCCGGCTGCTTCGGCGAGCGTATTCTCGGTGTGTTTGGATTATATTCTTCGAGTCTGTCCAAGTCTGTGGGATTCGTTTCTCTATCTGGGAAAGCTTCATTGGTTTCTATATCTGCTGCTATCCTATTTCTACGATTCTGGCACGTTTATTTTCCGTTGGAATTCGAATTTCGTGGAAAAAGTTGTGTTGAATGAGAACATGTCGGCGAAAATGGCACCTCGTGTCTCCTACCTTGTATATTATTATTGTAGATAGAGTGAATGTGAACAAATTACTGCAAATTATCACGAAACTTCGTTGGAGCAATAAGAATAACAACAATTAACTGCAGAGTAAGTTTCATTGATCTTTATTTAGTATTTCCTAGAAATTTTAGGATGATATTTTTACCCCATACAAACACTGTAATTTTACTGGAACCGTACTGTGGTACTATCACAGAGCCTGGGTTACCTGTGGTTTAAATAGGGCAAAAAAGAACAAATTCTGTCCGAGGTCTGTATGATAAAAACAAGGGCCTCATAGTACTGTTTACCTGAGACGTGATGAGAAAAAGTATGTTTAAAAGGCTGGTTTGCACTCCACCAGATTCGTCGCCAAGATTTACTAGTAAACTAAACTTGTCGAACACAAAAAATCCGGTCTGATTTTTTATTTTGGCCTCTCTTTTAGACAGAGGAATGCAACGTGTAAATTGGCTGCCACCAAGGACTATCGTGGCGCCTGTGTTTCTTAAAATTATATTTCGGGGTTGTCCAATTATCCATAGTCTCTCAAACGGAGCAATGTTGGAGAGAGTGGTGGATGACACATTATGATTCAACAGCTAATGCAAATACAATACACGAATAGGTAGGTCTATTTGTTTTCCAGGCCTAATCTACTGTGATCGAACATGATTGCTATTTTTGGGTGTACAAATAAGATTATTTAATAACTCGATGTAAAAGCTGTTTCACTCTTCGACTGTCAAATTATTTTTCTCTAAAATCACTTAGCCTTTGCCTCAAACGTCAAATGAATGTGCCCTGATCTGCGGATTACAAGTTTATTGTTTGATTTAAATTATGAATTTATTAACGGGAGCTTCGCTTTTAGCCCTGGCTAAATCTATATATTATTTTTTTTTATATTCCGTCTTTTAGGATTTGGGGCGATATTATGCCATTCCGTGTTATAGGGTCGCCCCAAAGATATACCTGTCAGAACTTTTGGGCATACGATAAAATATGGAATGGCGTGGAGTGGTAAAACATGGAGTGGAGTGATAAAACATGGAGTGATAAAACATGGAGTAATAAAACGTGGAGCTGATAAAACATGGAGTAAAAAAACCTGGAGTGATAAAACGTGGAGTGATGACCAAGTAAGAAAGGGGTTTTTTTGCTAGGTTGCATAGGATCTAAATATGACATGATGATGACGATGATATTCCAGTAGTAGCCTGTGAACAAGCTCTCTGTTCATCCTTTCCCTTCCCTCTCCTCGCAATTTTCACCCTTTCCCCAAACAGAGAGCCTGTTCACAGGCTATTGCAGTATCTTCTAGGCGTGGTTTCCGTCATGCAACATTCCCGTTTGGAAATGAAAATAAATGGGAAGAGTTACATTTTATCTTACTTTCTCTTAGAAGGGTCATTTCGTTTTGTCAACAATAAAAGTATTTCGTATGACATGAACAGCTCTATTATTCAACTGTCAAAGACCATGGAAAAATGTTGTCTTTTGACCAGTTTTTCGTTCATAACCGGAAGTATCGCGCGCGAGAGCGAGACAGTTAACACATAGTTAAGAATTAACATTTTAAAACATCACCAGGAATATCTAATATAGTCTTTTGCAGGCAATTAAGTTGCGGTTATCTTATTCTTAACGTTACACTTTGCAAAAGCTTTGCAGTAGAGGAGCTCAGGCAAGTTGAGACATGTGTTGAAAGGCTAAAAAGACCCCCACAGAGAATGTAAAGATCCTTTTTAATGACGCAGAGGGATCCAAGTAAAGGGTTTCACAAAGATATGATAAGACAAGTCTGTTTCGCTGATACGTGTGAAAGTTCGTGACATTCCATATTCACGCGCTCAAATCGTACCTTTCAGTAAAGCGAAATTGTGAGTAATTCAAAGACATGAGTTGTAACTTCCAAGAGTAGATTCGTCGTGGAAAAGAGTGGAGAGTGGATTACAAGAGTGGATTTGAGAGGACTCAATGGATCGAACATTCGCGGCTGCAGGACACATGCTACCGGATACCTATCGAGGAACATTGATCTGACGTTCGTTGTGTTATTTTATTTATGCGTTCTCGTAGTGATATTTGTACTTCAATTCTACTTTAGGTTTCGAAGGCGTTGTAATGCATCTTTGAGAACGGTACTGAACGTAGTGGATTGCAGCTAGTTAGACAATGTCTCAATAAAACAGTTTTGGGAAACTCATCCCAAGCGTCACGTGAAATTCCCTGGACCATGACGTCACAAAACCTGTTCTCTGAAACGTGGCAAGGTTGTTAACCTTCAGCCTAAAATACTTGTCATCAAATTGTCAGCGAAACTGTCTTAATTGTCAATTGGGCTGCCTTGCAAGGTGGATTTACAGCATCTTTATTGAGAGTTGTTAAAGTCTTTTATAAGTCACGTGACCTGTTTTTCTTTATTTCGTAATCCATGCTCTAGTTAGGCATACATGCAGGGCTATTTCATAATATCCAGGAAATGGGAAAAACACTGGTTCCTAAGAATATTTGCTGCTCTTTCATTTCCTTTCCCCCGTTTTAATTTGAACAGTTTGAACGTTAACGATCATTGGCGTGACCAGTATTTGAACAATGAATATGTCACAGATTGGTAAGGCCACCGAGCAACTGAAAACTGTTTGCCAAGTTTCATGACGGCTGATCAAAACAATCCGTTACAAATGCCACTTCGCCAAATTATGCAAATTATAAGGTGAATCATGCCTTAACATGCCTGAGTGAATTAGCCTTATCATGGGGAAGTGGCCGGTCGGCCTCGTCGTTATTATTCGTTTTTATAGCTTTTATATCTTTCATAGACTTTTAGCTCTTACGCATTTTAGCTTTTAGACTATTTTGAGAGCTGATGATAAGCCAATGGCCCTCTGAATGTTGAAATTCTTCAGTCGAGTGTCAGTGTAAACATCTTATAAGATAATTAAAGTTCCTTCCTTCGCCATTGCAAACTTTGTCGCTTTCTGAATACGCAGCGTTGGCTTTCTTCCGACGTGTTCCACGCATTTTTGGTATGCACCGGCATATCCCGGTCACCGGTTGGCAGATATCACTAAAGTGGAGAACAGGCAGCGGGGAACGGGGAACGAATGTCTGGGAACGAGTAGTCAGCGGTAACCTCCATAAAAATCCAAAATGGCCGATAAGGATCAAGAATCCGGTAAGATGAATGATAGAGAAGCGTCGAAACAACACCTAACGTATCTACTTTTTTAAACTATATACTCATGAGGTGCTTGAAATAATGCGGAGGTAATAACTTCATGACATTTTTCACCTTTTTGCGTTTTACTAAACAATTATCCCCAGGTTATTTGCTAAACACCACACTTTATGTTCCTGGTGTCTGAGTTTCAGTAGCAGCTCTAGATCGCGCGAAATGCGGATCTAATACATTTCAAAGTTTTTGTTTATTGTTGTCATAGTATTATCGATTTTACTAAAAGCTGCATTTTGACAAACTTCAATTCATTGTCAATCACTGGTGAAAATTTTGTTCGATCAGAAAAGAATAAGATAGCTTTTGAGGTGGCTCCCTAGAGTAAATTGGTCGTGCGCAGCCTGAGCACTAGTATGGCACGAAATTTAAAATCCGCGCGACGTCCACGTAAAAATTATCACAAACATGGCCTCTCACTTTCGAAGTATTCCACCCAAAAAACTTTATTAAATTTCTATTGAAGCTCATTATGCAAAAAGTTTGATTAGTGTAGGTCAAAAATTTATGAGAGGAGACGATGTTACACCTGTTACAAGTCGCTATCGATCTCCATAAGAGTAAATTGTATGTAAAAACAAAGCAGAAATTTTCCAAAGACATCAATTCTTTCGCTTCAAAAGTACAGACAAACATTAACTAGTCGAAGTAAATGGTGAGTGGAAACTTTACTTAGAAAACAAAGAAGTAAGTACACTAACCTAGAAGGAAGCAATGTTGCTGTTTCTGGCCTTTGGTTCACGGTCAGTGGAAAGATATGAAAGATCGAGCCAATTCCCGAACAAACAATGAAGATTGTCTTCACTGGCAGTGCTCCTTGGTCACTTTATTTCTCTGACATTTGATTTGATTTAAGTAATTCTAGAAGTGGCTTTAAGACAAGATTACAGGAAGTGTAAATTTTTTTTTGGTTTGCCGACTCTATCACATTGTTTAAAAAACTTATCAGAAAAAAGGTTTCCCACTTAACTTGCATCCTAATCGAAGGAACCTTACCATCGACGAACCAACATCCTTGTATTTTTTCTTGTTTCAAACGTCCTTCAACGCACATGCAAGATGCACTGGAAAATGTTTTTGCACAACGAGAAATAATTTTTCCTCACAGATTGACCTTTGACGAAGGCAATAGTTGTCCGTCGAGACCTACGGTCTTGTACGTGTAGCTGAGGACATGATGCACCGGTACGATTTATAGATCGGCGCCATCTTTTACAGCAGACTTTTGAAGAAAAACTTCGCCGTCGAAATTATCTCTAAATAAGAACAAGGTTGAAAAAGTGTACGGAAGTGGGCTGACATTTGAAGATCTGCAAACAGTGTACAGCAGATTAGGAAATGAAGGGCTTATTGCGATCCTTGCACAACCACCGTCTTCATCTCCGACGATCGCCATCCTCACGAGTGACCACCACGGTTCTAATTTTAGCTACAATAGTCAAGTACTTTGAAGAAAACATCTTGTGTCAGGTACAAAATTGAATCCGCTATCTCTCCTTTTTCAACTGGCGAGACATCACCGTAATAATACTAATAAACGGCTTCAAAACAATGGCGTTCGTACTCTTCAAAGAAACCACATGTTTTCCGTAGCTTTGTGCATTATGCGCATGCGGGCGTGATGGCTCGCGCGCGTATTTTCCTCATACGACCCCGAACCACGCGTGTTTTTCGGATTTTTGTGACGTAAACGTAGTTAATTAACCGTGAATTTCTCTCGTTTCCTTCGGTAAATTTTTTTAAAAATCGCCTCATTTCTTAACAGTTGCAGTACCTTTGTACTGTCCTTTTTTTGTTACAATCTGTAAGAGCCAAATTCCTCCATTAAGAAAAATTACAAATTTCAAAATATTGGCAAAACCGTCTTAACGACCCCATATTTTTTCCACTTTAAAATGTTAAGCAATATCGTTAATATAAACTGGCAAAGTTTAAAGACATTTCACCGAGGGAAATAAGAAATATTAAGAAAAAATGATCAAAATTGACAAAATTACTGCCCTTCCAAGGATGCGATGTTGCCATGGCAACGGCCTTAATCCAGAAAATGAAACTTTCTAAAGGAGCCTTCTTATGTGGGTAACCTTAGCGGTGAATCTCGTGAACAAAATCGCAAAGACAAAGTAACTAGATTTCGTTCTTTAACGTATACTAGATAGCTAGCGTTATTAGTAAATACTCTAGGGAGCCACCTTAAGGAGATTGAAAAATATCGGTAAGGTCTCCGAGAAACTGTATCGAAACACCTTGAATATATTTTCTTTAATAAATATTGTCAATAACAAAATTTATCGAAAGTTGTCTTTGCCGGGAGGTTGTGCTCTTGCCGCAACCGCTTCGGCCTCTGTTAGCATCATAAAGTGTTAATTACTTCTTTGACCACAACCTCATCATCATCATCATGTCATATTTAGATCCTATGCAACCTAGGAAAAACCCCTTTCTTACTTGGTCATCACTCCATGTTTTATCGCTCCAGGTTTTATCACTCCAAGGTTTGTTACTCCATGTTTTATCACCCCATTTTTTATCATTCCACTCCATGTTTCACCACTCCACTCCATTCCATGTCTTATCGTATGCCGAATGAGCTTGGATAAGATCTATGGTAACCGTACCCAAGAAAAACGGTAAACTTCGCACATGCCTAGACCCAAGGGACCTCAACCGTGCGGACGAATCATCGTACCTAACAACGTTCCACACTCCGTTTGGACGTTACCGTTGGAGACGCCTCCCTTTCGGTATTAGTTCCGCTCCGGAAGTCTTCCAGCAGAGAATGCACCAACTGATCGAAGGCTTGTCAGGTATTGAAGTCTTAACTGACGACTTGATCGTGATTGGCTGCGGGAACAATGTTGAAGAGGCTAACAGCGACCATGATAGAGCCTTTGTCAACTTCCTAGAGCGTTGCAAAGAGCAAGCAAGGTGTTAAGCTCAACACTGAAAAGCGTAACCTTCG